GAGCATATACGGCGAAGAGAGTGGGAGTTCAGCACATCATCCCCGCACCGCTGCAATTGAACTGATTTGGAATTCTTCACAGGCAATTCCCATGTCTCCCGTGGACAGTGTGCGGCCTGTCCCTGGCACAGGTGTGGAGTGCTTACTGCAGTAACTAGTACTCGTTCGTAATTTTCTGATCGAGTCCGTGAGCGTGGTCTCGGTCTGTGCACAGTTTGGCAAGTGACCGATCCAGCAGCTGAGATCTCAGACGGGTCGCGGTGGGATCCTGGGAAGGGCCGGAAGTGTCGTGCCACTCGAGGTGTATCCATCCTTCCATGGCCATGGCACACAGCTGGCAGGCAGAGCGCTAAGCGATGGCCTAGCCTCGGCACATCAACACTTACCAAGGACAGAACAAAACCAGCGCAGAACACCGCTGAGGCCCTCCAACGAGACACCGCCGCGCCCGGAACCCACGCCTCCATCCCGGGGCTGGGGCGCGGCGGGCCAGGTCCCCGGCATCCGCTTCAGCGCCTCTGCAAGCCACCAGCACCGCTTGAGATTTTCAGTCTTGTGAAAGTTCGTCTCAGGTATGAGTCGGACGCTCGTTCAGTTTGACCACTGCCACAAGCAAAGCTCTGCGGACAAAAGGTCTGCAAGGATGCCCGTGTGCACCGATGAATGGATCGTCGCCAGTCCAATTTTAACTTCGTAGCACGCTCCATCTGGCGCTTTTTGTTTCATACATGCGCGGATCCATCTGCACTTCATGCCGTTTTGATTCCCAGACTCCTCACCACATGTGGGACGGTGGATGGGACAGTAAGTGTACAGTGCGAAGAGAGTCACAGCCGTACTCGATCTGATTTACTGCCGTGCATTGTGCCCGTGAGCACCATTTAAGGCTGTTCAGAACTCGAGGTATTTGTGCCCGGACACAGAGACTTCCCTCAGTCTAAATGAGGACAGGATAGGCCGACTATAGGCTTCCAACTCTTGAGTCGGAACCCTCATGCAACCATGGATAGTCACGAGCTCAACGAACGTTCCGGTGCTGCAGGAAGGCTTTCTGCGTCGGCATATGCAAGCAAGAGCAACTTCGAGGCGTGTTATCAAGACGGCCTAAGCACAAATGATGTCGCTCCCCCCACCGAAGTTACGAAAGCGAACGCGTGCGAGAGTCTCTGTGGCCTCAGGGCAGGAGGTTGCTTTGCCTCCCTTTCAGCCAGTGGCCGATTTTTTTTGTCCAGCTTACGACTGGAGAGGCAGACAGTTTGGCCAAAACCTCAGCCCTGCACTGCAGAGCTGCAGCCACTGTCGGAGGGAAGACCTTACAAGACCAGCATGAGTTAAAAGCTTGCACGGACAGACTCCGGCAGACAGGCCGGCAGCGCAATACCATCCTTGTGAATCTGCACGTGCCAGTGAGCTGGGACCCCAATCTAAGATATTCCACCAAACCCGCCAGCGGACCCAACAATAGTTGTCAGGAGCGGTTTACAAATGTAGCCCTGTCTTTCTTTCGTGTAGGCAGGAGCGACAGCCCATCCACAACTGTCCATATCTATCAACGAAAGGTCCAGCCGTGGATTGTTTAAAGGTTGTTTAAATTTAGCCTTGAGTAGCTACTCAAGAACCCCGTGCCAATTGAATCCTTGAAACCTTATTTCCCCAGCGAACGCCAGCGCCGATGTGTCAAGCAGTTGAACAGGCCTGGCCTGCCCGCGTGAAGCGGCGGCATGGGGTGGCGTCACAGTGCAGCCTTCGCCCTTTGCCATGCTAAACCGTTCAAGCAGCTGTTGAACACGTAAAGTCGTAAAGCCTTACGACTCTGTCTCGGTAATCATCAAAGTTGGGTGACTGACCAGCCTGAAGCGACAACGTCCAGTTGCTCCCGACACATTCCAGCCAAGACAGCCCACAAAACCATGAAGCGTGCTTTGATTTGGCATCCATGGCAATCAGAGAACATATACTGTGCTGCAAGGGTTCTTCGTAACCTCTGAGAATCTCCGAGACATGTTCATCCACAGAGATGGAAAGTGACGAAGGTCGCTGAATCGCCACTGCATCACAGGAGTGTCTAGCCGTGTTGCCAGGTTTAGCTGAATGTAGAATCTCCACTTCAACAGTTTTCACTACGTGCTTTGGTGTCGAACTTTGCTGGATATGTGAAGAGTAGCATCAAAGGGCCGGTATACGATGTGGTTGCCTGCAATTATAACCATGCCAGACGTCCTGCTCCGGCTGATACACTGGGAACAGCCTATACGGCAACACAGCTATTTATTTGCAGCCTGGCGGTGTGGCTTCGACAATATGTCCAAGCATCCCACCTCTTCCGCGCGGGATGATACTGGATACTTTAGACTTTGTAGAGTTTGCTGCGGCGCATCGTCTGTGCTGGAGAGGTAATCTCTACAACAGTGTCGGGCAGATTTCGTTAAGCTTTGGACTAAGACTCTGTTCTGGACGGGCTGTGCGCAGCGATTCCGCCAGGCTTGACATTGTTCAGACTACGCAATTTGCAAGCTCCAACCATTCCGTCCAGCGAAAGCATCTGGCGCTGGCACTGCGAAGGGTGCAGCTGCACGGCTCAGAGCCATGAGGCCATTGCGAGCAGATCCCTAAGTAATGCAGCTGTGTTCCTCGTTCATTCATGGTGTGCTGCATTCAATGAAACCTCTGCGAGATTCTGCGAGTCGTACATCCTCGTAGGTCACGCGCCAGGTAGCTGATGGGATGAGACGGAGCTGTCACGAGATGTACATGCGAGCATAGCAGACGTAACTCGGAACAACGGTGTGAATTTTGAATGCCCCTTCTTAAGACTCAAGACTCTCCCTTGCGAGTACCTTCAAAGTGTGTAAGCCTTCTCAAGCGATTAAGTGATTGAGATTTGAAATGTGACAGGTATGCACCTGACTTGTTCAGAGTCACTTCCTGCGGCTCATGACGCACGCAAATTGAGACAGATGTGCGGAGTATGCACAGAAACTGTGGTGTGTTGTCGAAGCTACCTTGGCAGATTTATTTACAGGTTGAAGCTGTCTTCAGCAGAATGCTCATCCGCCATGACTTTGAGTATACTGTAGCGTGAGTTTCTGTAAAGCCGGTGTGCCAGGTTGAACGGGATATCTTATCGCGCATGCTGAGGTCATACAACAGATGATTACGAAGCGTTTGTTTGGCAGGCCGTTCCACTACCGTCATCGGCTCGGCAGGAACTCCAAGCAAAAGCCGCAGAGCCCAAATCTGAGACATTCTCAGCAAGACCCTGGGCTCATCCGGATTTGGCGAAAAACTCAAAGACTACACGCTGACTACACGTGCGCCCAAAAAAGAGCAGAGTGAGCCTTTGCGGCGTGGTCTATGATCGCGGCAAAGGCTATGCCGGCAGAATCGGATCGAGAATTGTCAGGTTAGGACGAGACCAGTGGACAATTCCTTACTAGAACTGATCAGCTTTGCTACGGTTCGTGTCGTGACCAACACGAACGAGCATCCCCAGTTCGCCAGGTTTTTCTCCTTATGCGGACGACCGGTGTTGTTATCCAATCCTGTGCATGTGAAGACTTTTCTGTAAGTTTGACGCTGAGTACACAGATGGTTACAACTTTGGCCAGGCATAACAATGTCACATTGAAACGAGAATATTCAGCATTCGATACGACGAGTAGCTGTCGGCAGGTGACGGTTAAGCGGGAATGCTTCGGAAAAATAGGGTATTATACAAGTTCGTGAGGAGTCAACGACTCAACCTCTTGAGAAGCATCTGTACAAACAGAACTTATGCGAGGAACACGTTCGCGCGGCGAGACTGTTTTCTCGCGCTTACAACGCTTCGAAAAAGGGTTCGGAAGTAAAGAGGTATCTTCAGCAGTAGTCGGCGATACAGCTAGGAGCCGAAGACCTGAAAGCAGAGAAGCCTGGTGCCAGGGCAAGAGTGTTGCATTCGCGAAGGTCATGCAGCCTTGAGGATGAACCTCTTGGAGCGTTTTTTCCGTCATCTTGGGACCACGTATCTTTTTAAGGACGATCTGATTATTGAGACTGCGACTGACCGTTCTACTTCTTGGCATTTACTAGAGTTCTCTAGCACACGTGGTTGACGATGCAATGCTTTAGTTGGGCAAGTCTGACGAACATGACTATGGACGTCGGCACAACAACCAACGTGCGGTGATTGATTCCCCAAAAGAAGGTGACCGACAGTCTTAAGGGTCATTGTCAGACTTGGGGACCCTGTTGGAGGGTTATGCGTAAACATCACTCCACGGTTGCATAAAAATATTGACATAGTCCGCGGTAAGACCGGATCTACATGAGCCGCTGGCTGACAGCTTTACTCTGTCATTGGACTGTAAGCTGTTTGACGACGACAAGCAGCTTGATGGTTGCCTGGACCGAAGCTGCACACTAGAAGGACGCAACTTTCCAATTGAACGAGCATGTTTCGGCCTTCTGAGCAATGCTTGAACTCTAGAAAACGAAGTCTTTACGGTTCTTTTATTTGAGAGTTTTCTTGTACAAATCGTTTGTAATAGAATTTTGAAGCAACAGCAAAGTCAAACTCGAGTGCATTGACAGGGAGCTCTTTGAAACGTCACCGTGTAGAATGAGTTGGACACCAGCGAAGAACGGTGCAACAAGCCTCTCCTTGTCTTTCTTGCTTCTTGATAGTGTCATGCTTTTTCTCTGTCAATGTCAAACCGTTTGTTTCGATCAGATGAACGTGACACTGTGCGGTGTGGCAGTGGGCATGGTCATCGCTGATCCCAGCAGCTAAGCCTCCCGGCCAAAGAGTCCCGAGCTCGCCCAAGCTTGTGCTGCCTGCAGTGTCGAAGGTGGCTCGAACCGCTAGCACCACATGGGACGATGGATCCTGCAGTAGGTCATCATGCGTTGGCTTCGCTGTGCGACAGACGCGCCAGCTGCATGAAGGAATCAGCAAAAGACTGCATGCACCGTTTCTATAGCTTCGGCATTGCAGGAATTAGGACTGGGTGTCGTCAGCAATGTGGACCTCTACAGGCGCTGCCGCCATCCCTCTGACGACAAGCACGGCAACTTTGAGGAAGTTGTCCTCCCAAAGGGCACGCCCCAACTTGATCAAGGGTCACTCTGTTTTGAGTGCATGTCAAAAGAGCGGGCTTTGGAATTTGGCTCTCATCACTTTGCAGCATCTCCTAGAAGTCGGGTGCGTGGTGGACGACATCAGCTATGGCATGACTATGAAGGCATGCAGTATAGCTGCGCAGTGGGCAACTGCGTTGCAACTGCTCCATTCGCAGCTCGACTGTTTTAACGCTGGGAAGTTGTTGAGCTCCGTTGCAGTTGCGATGCAACGGTGCAGACTTTTCTTGTGGCACGCTCAGGTTAAGCTCCAGAAGGTCCTGCTGCAACAACATAATCTTCACCACATGCATATCCTCGCTGGACGGTAGCACTTTCTGGAACGCAGCGCTCCGTTTGGTTTGTCTCATGCGCTGTTGCGGCATGGTGCCTGCTACTTGGCAAGAACATCCCACTGAATAATACGTATTGTTGTTTTTAGGGAGTTCACATTGGCTCTCCAGGACGTTATCTGCTCCAACGTCGTCCTGAGCGTGTGTCAAACGTCGTGGAAGATGGCTTGTCGATTGATGAGCGGCCTGTTCGTTTCAACGATGCGACTGGACTTGTACTCCTACAGCGCTACGATGACGTCTTTTTCTTGGCGGAGGTCTTTCAGACTGCTCGGCCAGATGGGGCTTTCTGGGGTTCGGCCTGACGTGGTCTGCTACTCTTCCGCGCTTTCCTCTTTCGAATCTGGTGACTCAACCGACTGGCAGCATGCTGGTAGCGCTCTTTCGGTGATGTTTTCGCAGCGGGTCACAACCAACGAAGCTTGCAGCAAGGCAGCCATCAAGGCTTTGAGTTCACAGTGGAGGGTGGCGCTTGAGATGTCAGAAGCGTCAGCTTTGCAAGGTCTCAAACTGGATAAAGGCGTGGCCAGCCTGATTGCAGAGCGTCATGATGGCATGTGGCCGGGCTGTCTAACACTGCTGGAGACGCCTGAAAGTAGGGACGTCTTTAGCATCGGCGCAGCCATGATGGACCTGCAAATGCAGCACGAGTGGCACTTGGCACTCGACCTGTTCCAGCAGGCATCCTTCCGAAGCCTGCAAGCAGACAGCTACGTTCACAGCCTCGCTGTTGTCACCGCTTCAGCGCGAAGATGGGAAACTCAGCTGAAAGCTTTAGATTCTTGGTTTGATCAGACCTCAATTGGTTTTGAAACAGTTGTTGCTTCCGTCGGCCAATCTCAGGAGCTCGGGGTTGCCTGCCTTGCACAGTCAGATGACTACATCACAGTGGCAGATGCCAGCCGTTCGTTCAGCACACTCCTTGCGGCGTGTGGTGAACAACTTGCATGGCAAGCGGCATTGACCCTGATGGCCGTGGGGCCCTCGGCAAAGTCATGCATGTGTCCGCTGTACCAAGCTGAAAGCCGAGGATGCTAAACGGAGGCGACTCAATGAGGCTGCTTTCTGCGCTGGCATTTCAGCTGCTCGGCGCGACTCCGACGCCTTGCAGAAATCCGAATGATCGTGACAAGTCGCAAGAGCCTCGCAGCAATCCGCTGAGGTTCTGGCTCGGGTCTCGTGGCCTTGCGCTTTGCAGCTTCTCCTGGACATGGAAGAGGAATCTGTAGGCAGAGCTCCAGCACTGACACCAAGCAACTAGAGACACCCATGCGCCGTTCGATACAGTAGCTAAACTTGGCAGTCCACATACTGTAGTGCTGCAGACAGGCTGCACGGCATGCGGAGGCATGCATCCACAGAGCACAGGTGCAGACGCAGCGTGCTTCAACGCTGCATCTCAGCTGCATTCCCCATGCCTGGCTGCCTGGCCTGTTCTTGAGCAGCAGCTGGTGCAGTTTGAGGCCATCAGTGCCTGCGGCTCGTCCGCGTCCGCAAGTCACCTGGTTCTGCACCTTCTGGAGGACATGTACGCCAAGCGGCTCCGCCGCGACGTGATCGGCTCCAGTGCAGCCATGAGCAGCCTTTCCCAAGCAAGCCTTTGGGAGCAGAGTCTTGGTGTCCTGAACTCAATGGCTTGGACCGCAATCGAAAGCAACTCCATTGCCTTCAATGCCTGCTCAAGCGAGCACCATCACTGGCAAATGGCCGTTGTGTGCCTAAAGAAGATGGAGGAAGCAAGAGTGTCGGTGACCGATGTCAGCATTTCCACGGCCATTGCCGCCTGCGAGCGGTCAACGGAGTACGATGTGGGACTCGCACTTCTCTGGCACTCCGAGGACGCTTGCTACGGCTACGGAAACGTATGCAGCCGTATGCAGTGTGTAAGTGGCGTGTTTTTTCCAGCGACGTGTAAGAGTGTCACCTGACAGGATGCCGGGATCTCACTCCCGATCTTCACTTTTCTGATGGCCCTCAGCAGGATCGTGGTAGAGGACGCAGAGGTGCATCCCGCACGAGTAGTGACATATCCAGACCTGGTAGCTCACCTGGCAGTTTGACGGTGTTCGGCTTTTACTGATCGTCTTCAGGTGATCCACGCTGCTGTGAGCGAGGCAGCGCGTGGTCTGTTCGGTAGTCCGGAGGTCACGAACTCGTGTCTATGGCGCCTCTGGCGCCCAACGGCACTACTGGGGGCCTTCAGCGAGCACTTCCAGCAGAAGTTGCTTGAACACACGCTGCAAGACATGCATCTCGACAGAATGCCCTCGGCGAAGAGCTGAAGTCTCCCAAATAGCCTCGTGCTCCCCTGTGAGGCATGGCTACGGCATGGGTGATCTTCTGGAAGTAGCTTGGGGCGCGGCAGCCTTCGTGTCGCAGCCGGGTCATCAGAAACTTGGAAGAAGTCAACACGAATGCCTGACAGTGCATGTGTAGATTGAGCTCGTTGCTGGAGATCAAATGCGGAGTCTTGGTGCAGTCCGTGCCATGCCGAGGATGCTGTGTGAAGTTCAACGCCAGCTTCGGCAGCTGCTGAAAACCGGCCCGGGGCCGTCGCCAGAGCCACGCTGGATGCAAGACGTCCTGGGCCACTCAGCGGAAGTGGAACCAAGGAACCTTCCAAGCGAGTTCCACACGAAAACTTAGGCATCCTTCGAGCCTCGAGTTTGCGACACGTCCTCTCCGCACCTCAGAGCAATGCGGAGTGCGGAGTGAGGTGGTGCAGAGGTCTTGCAGTCTCTTTCCTTTGGCCCCTATATAGCCGCTAGCTCTGCTTGCCGAGATGCGGACTCTCACCGCCGCCAGCGCTGCGCTGCGCCGGGCCGGACGCCGGCGCGACCGGGAGCACGGCGGTCCCTGGATCGGAAGGATGGCGATTCCCCGGCTCCCAACAAAGGAGCGAGCCGACGGGGAAAAGGCGCACAGTTGTGCGTGAGCCACGTTGAGCCTGGCGGCCCCGCGCCAGGAGCCTGAGATGTATCCGGCTGTGGAGCTTGAGCTTGAAGACCGCTTAGTGGTGTCGAAGCCAGTAGACTGGGAGGTCTACGACGGAAGCACGGAGCAGCTGGGATCGAAGCTATAGGAATCGGGGCGTGTGGCACTAACGGATATGCTATGCCGTGTGCCCAGGCACCAAGTTTGGGACTTCCTGAAGGAGGCTTTTGCGTACAATGCCCCCATCCTGTCAGACCCGGCCTTCGGCTGCGGCTGCTTTGACTTAGACTTGCTCTTTTTGAGCACCTCCTGCGGTGCTTTTGCCTGGCCCCCGGCACTTCCTGTGCTTTCAGGATTCCTTCATCGCTTGGACGTGCCAAGTTCCGGACTCCTGTTGCTGGCGGGACACTTAAAACTGTGTAGTTCCTTGAGCTCCGCTTGTCCAGTCATGTCCTCATACGCGGGCACTCACAGAGATTTCCCGATGAGGCACAGTTGCCCTGCAAGGAAACTCGCCAGAAGGTGAAACAGGAAAGAAACGAGACGGTAAATCACAGAGAAGAGGTTTGATGCCGATAAGTAACTGGTACCAGTCATCGCAAGCCACGAGTTTAGTGGAAATCCTTGGCAAACACTGTTGGCAAGAGTCGTAAAGGTGCCAGTCGCTTTGCGCAGTAAACCGGCGGTGACGCCTCGCTGTGCGGGAGGGGAGTTGAAGCGCATGGCGGAACTGCACTAGCCGTGTCCTGATTGCCTGCTCTGATTTTGACGGTGCCTTCCGTGCGCTCTGTTGCATCGAGCATCAAAGCATCCCAAACTAGCGTTTCAACAAGTGTCTGTATGGAGCTTGTTGCATGGCTGTGGCGGCGCCTAAACTGCACGGCTCTCACTCGGATGCGATACCCCTGAGCTTGCCGGATGCACCGCCCATTCGCATTCCTGCCCGAACCCAAATAGGTAAACAGGTAATGTCCATAGAAGTCAAGTACCTGGAGTCACGAAAAGCTTGTGTGCACCAGCAATGCTGCAGCAGGATTGACGCGCTGTGCGGTCGGAGGATTCGAGCCTTCCAAACTTGAAGTTTTCTGATGATCCATTGATGATCCGGGTGGGGTGCGGCAGCTGGCCCTTCCTGAACACAGAGAGAGAGAGAGAGAGAGAGAGAGAGGAGGCAAAGCAGAAGAGTGGAAGAAGCAAAACTGGCGATTGGAAGTTCGTAGAGTCGTAGAGTGTAGACGCGACGAAGCGAAGCCGACAGAGCTCACATGCGAGGCGAAGGGCTACGAGGCCTTCCTCCACCTCTCCGAGCAGCTCTCTTCCAATCGAAGCTTAGCCAAAGTCTGCAATTTGCAAAGTTTAAAGGGGACCTTATATGATCTTCATAGAGGTCAGGCATCCCCAGAGGGGGAGCCCTGGTACATACTTGACCGCTCTGTTTCTTGGGAGCTCTGGGCCGACCAGGGCTCCAGAGAAAATATATTGGCCTGGCCCATGGCTGGCAGCGATCGCGGGATATCCAGGCCCAGCTTTACTGGAGGAGTGCGGGGACGTAGTGCGGTTGGCGAACTGTTTACAGATGAGTGGACAGTTGACAGGGTACCCTGCCTCCCAGTCTCGAATCCTTGTGTGAGTCGTTAATTGTGGATTTTCACTCAGAGGCTCAAAATGGAAAAGTGTCTGGAGGTAGTCGGCCCTTTCAGGCTTTGGAGGCCCTGCCTTGGGCCCCGACCCTGCTTTTTGCACAAAAATCTGCATGTCTCTCTGTAACTCTTTGTTCATTTGTTCGTTCTGATCGTTCATGTATGTATTCACATATTGTAGTATCAGAGTTAGGAAGCATTGCTGTTTCAACGAGCGTTAAGGGACCAGGACTTGTAGGCTGGCGACCTCATGATGCCAACAGTGCACCGCCCCCTCCACCCATCCGTGGCAGGACAGCACCCACGACACGGGCAGGCGGTCGTGGGAAACCATCCTGGACCAAGGCAGCCAATTGCTTCTGCACGCATTTTGCACCTGCTTGACCTCATGACCATAGTTCATCCAAAGGCCAGAGGATGCCAGTTCTACTACACTTTGATCGTCAGCCTTGTGTGTGTGTGTGTGATCTCTGCACTGTCTCGTACAAGTAGAAGAGAAGTACCACTGGTAGAACGGGATGTTGAGCTACCCGATGCGTTGCAGGGAGTCACAAATAAGAAGGCAGAGTGGGTTGCATCCCGACACGAGGTCAAGTGCGTTGAGCACGGATCCGTGTTGCACACATCGGTCAGCGTTTTGGCGATTGAAATCATAACGGGTCGGCAGCACCAGATCCGCAGCCACAGTGCGCATGTCGGTCATCCGCTACTTCGGGATGGCACCTTGCTCGAAGAGAACGTAAAGACTCAAACATGTGCTGCATTGCAGTAATTACGTTGACAGGCTTTTTCACTCTCCGTCCCATTCGCTCCAGGCAAGTATTCGAGCACAGCGACCTACACTTCCGACATGGCTATCTCTCGTCACAACTGCTTGCATAGACACCGCCTCGTGTTCTATGACGCTCGGTGCATGTTGAAACGTCACCCTGCAGAATGCTGGATGCGTAGGTTTACTGGCAACGGATGTTGGATTTATCTTGCATCGAGTGGGTTTTTCGAGCATTGCTCCATGTCCACTTCTGGAATTTCTCATGTTTCAAACTAACGTTTTCAGCTTGAACTACAAGAGACTGGTATGATGCAGCGGGCATGACGGTGGTTGACATTTGCGAAGTAAGGACATTGCAGGGAGACAGCACAGCGTCACTTCTCCACTGAATTCAGAGCTGGCGTCCATTCTGGAGCAGCTCGTGGGCAAGGCCGAGGCTTCTTGCATAGCATGAGGGCAGATGCGAGAACAACATGACATGATCAGTGTGCATCGGAGTTATCATTATCATACCGGAGAGCCTGGGCAAGTGGAGGCTTCGCGAGGAATCACTGGATTGGCAGCCTCCGTTCGACCGTTCTTGATCGACAGCGGTGCGGCGGAAAAAATTGACATGCAAGACCGACCGACAGACCGATCGATCGATGATGCTGATGCACAGAGACATGACACTGCTCGGGACAGCCCAATCAAGAGGGACCGACACCGCCAAAGTACAGCAATGGGAGGTCTTAACAGCGACATGATTGCTGGGTGCACCACCAGGACCAATCACGACAGTCACAAATCGAGTCACGCAGTCAGAGCAGCCTGAAAGTCGGTTTGACATGAGAACATGAAGCACGTGTAGTGTACCACGGCAGTCATGCTGCTCGGTGCAGCCGGCACGAAAGCATGGGCACTGTGCCTCAGCGCGGTGCTGCTGGCTGGCGTGCGCGGGGTGCACCCACCTCCAGACAAATGCTGCGATGGCCCAGCACGTCCTGTGAATTGGATTAGCCTTTCCAACACCTCAGCGTTGGCCGCGGCCTGCCACCTGTCCGCAATCAGCCCCCAAGCTGTGGCTGCAGACGACCAAGACTATCGGTATCATGGAAGATTTTTCCAGAGTGCACAAAACAATAAGATTTGAAGCGACAACGGCCTGAGGTACCCAGCTCCATTACAGCAAGGAGAACTCGCTGGGATGCGCTGCTCTCACTGCCTGCACTCACAACGGAGAGGATCTCTGGATGACCTGCCCAGATGGCTTTGAAGCCGACTGCGTGCTTGGATGTACAGCACTCCCCCAAGCCTCCAGCTGCCCAGAGCCTCAGCAGAGTTTGCTCGAATGGCTCAGCAGCAACTCGGCCGATTCAGCACATTCATGTGCATTCAATACTGGTACCTGAAACCTCTCGACAAGTGAGTGACGATTGTTTGCACTGACAAGTCTGTAAGGGCTGACAGAAGAGGATTTCGGGGTCTGGGGGAAGATGGGGGAAGCGGTGATAGGAGCATTTTGACGGCAGAGGTTAGCAGAGGTGACTGAGACCTGTCAGGCAACGGTGGCTTCATCAGCCCACGCCTCCGCATCGACAGCGGTCAGCTGGGGAGAGGTCTTTTCGCAACGGAGGACATCGAGATCTCGGAGCTTTTGGTGTCCCTGCCTTCCGAAGTGATTATCTTAGATGGCCGATCGCCGTGCTTGGCCATCAAGCGCCTCCGCAACGAGCTGCAGAAAGGTCCGTGCTCCTTCTACTGGCCATATCTTAAATCGCTGCATGAGATCGAGATCTCTCTGCCGGCAGTTTGGTCACTGGAGGATTTGGCATTGCTGGACGGACTTCCAACACCAAAGGGTGGTTGCTTGGTGTCCTAGCAGATGTTGAGACTTTGCAAGTTGCTAATCAGCTGCTAATCTGCTAATGCAGGGCGTTGTGCGTGGAGTTTTCAAACTTTCTTGAGACTGCTTGAGTTGACGGCCTTGCAGGCTGGCAAAGCTACACGCAGCGATACTTCAAGGATTGCCTCGAGAGCGCTGCCGAGTCGCAAGGATTCCTTGTGCTTTGTGCCATGGGCGCTCGGGATCTCTGTTATTGAAACACAATTAGCATAGAAAGTCGCATTAGGAAGAGCAGACAGCCCCGTCATCAGTCGACACAGATGTTCAAGCACACTGCAAGTGCCTGGCTTCAGATCCAAGGTGTAGTGCAGGATCTCAGTTGTCCCAGTAAGAACGCAAGCGGCAAAGTGTTTTCTGCGATGGCTGGTGACATGCCATTATCTAGTTAGTTATTCAGTTATGCATGTATTAACTCATTGGTCCATATTCATACTCTGTACCATACAATACTGCCAAACTGTAAGGATGGAGACGCTTTGGCTTTGCGAGCCTTGCTTCTGTACCACACCCGGGCCGGACCATTAGGTTCCGCCCTCGGACGAGTGCAAAAGAGTCATTGCAGGTGCAGCCGTGTTGCTGCGTCCCATACACTGCCGCACACAGTCACATACATATCGTTGTAGCTGTGTCTGCAGCTGGGTCCAGCTGGGTGCTTCAGTTTGATGGATTGCATCTCTGTCCAGCTTCTGCAAGCCCTGCACGCGGTAATTTACGCGACCCCCGATCTGTCTGGCCACGAAGCGCTGTCGTGTCGTTTGCGGGGTTCGGTCTGTATCCCGGAAGCTGGTTCTCTGTCATGCATGAAGCAGGTATTCGTTTGAGTTTGCTGGACAGGCATGACCCCTGTTGCCGACATTATGAATCATGGTGTGGAGCTTATTTTGCAAGTGTGCATTGCGGGGAAGCTTGTTTCGAAGGGTCACTCATTGTGTTTCTAGGGCATCTGGAACCTAGGATACAACATGACATGGCACGGGTTTGATCAAGAGGACGTCATGAAACCGCATGGCAGAGGCGCGCGGCAAGCCATTCAACTCAGATCTGGGATGGTGACGTGTTGAGCACCGTTGCAGGAACCTTCTGGATGCGTTCATCGTCCGCGATCAAAGCCGGCAGCGAGGTTCTGAATTCAATAGTGTGCCTTGGCACGAACGCTTCCATGCTAGGAGTCAGAAAAGCCACAGCATGCGCTCCGCACCACAGCACAGATGCCTCGAGGAATGGAGTTGCGTTTCGCCCAACTTTGGCTGCTGCTCTGCATTTTGCTGAAAACAGTGTTGGGGTTTTGGACCGACCTTGGGCCGGGCAGATGCAAAAGGCAAGTTGCTCAGGCTGCTGGCATGCACGCCGATGACTTTGACGGAGCGGCTGAAATTTTCAGGACTTGGGGCCCGAGCTTCCTGGCAATACAGCTTTGAATCCTGTGGGGCCTGTCACAGGAACTACGGGTTCATGGAAGATCCTCCAGTGATGTGGTGGTTTGACAGCGCAGCATCGGGCACACACCATGCATGGATCCAGATGGATGCAAAGGGAGCCTCAGCTAACCCACATGTCGAGAACAGACGTTTCAGAGTTCTTCAAGAGCATTCAGCCTTATTTGCCGGCATGCTGCAGTTGCATGTCCATTCAGGCACGCCGAGCTGGTTTGCGGACACCGACGACCACGGTCCTGGCCGGGGGCTAGGTGTGAACAGAGATTGAAACTGCGCAACCGGGCACAAGTGCAGTGCTAAAGGGTTCGTTGTGACCGCCGATAGTCGAGGTGGAGCACCCCAAGACAAAGTCTCGTGTCGTCCAGGGGTCACAAGAGTGCAGCATAGTGCAGCAAGAGTTTACACAGTCCAGGCACGAACCTGACCGGCTTGGTGGAAGATGGCTCTGCGTTGCTCGAGGATTTGCAGGTGTGGTCTAGAATCTAGAACCTTCAGAATGTCCAAACTTCTGAGAACGTGAGGTTCGCGAGGCCCGCCTGGGTATGATCTACGGTCCGGGAAGCGACGAGCAGCCGCTTGGCTGGGCATGTCTGGGCATTGGCCGCGGGGCGCACTGCTGTCACATCGTTTTAAAGCCTTCCTTAACTCAGGCCTTTCTCGTTCGACGCGAAAGCCCAAATCGGTGGAAGACATCGCCGAATGGCCTTGGCCTACCGCCAGGCCCGAAAGCCCGAAAGCACAAGATGAGAGTATCGGAATGCGCACTCTGGCGAGGCCTTCAAGCATGCTCTGAAAGCAGCCATCGAGGCACAGGGGCCGTGCGGCCGTGCGGCCGTGCGCTAGCATGCGCTAGCGCCGCTAAGAACAGTGGGGCTCCAAAAATGAAACACATCAGATTCCCTCGTCGCACTCGTCCGCCTCATTTCTTCGAGCGCCAGGCTGCCAAAGTTGAGCTGAGAGCCAGCGGAGCACAAGCTGGCAAGGAAGAGCTTTGAATTCACCAACTGGACAAAAACGAGTGTGGCGGCTGAAGCAACTGCGTTCCTGCGCAGTGCAACTTGTCAGATCGTGTCAGCTTGTGCTCCTCCAGTCTCTGACCTGGTGCCGCTCCCTCAAAGCTGCACTGTTTGTTTGAAGGACAACGAGAACTTTCACGCTGCTACGAATGCTGCGACCTCCATGCCGCCCCTTCACACTCTTCACACTGTTTGGACAACCCTTTGCGTAGATTAGAGCGGGTCATGACGTACCGGCTGTGACCGTGCCGCAGACACGCACCGTCATGCTCAAGTCGTATCCTCTACAGTATAGACAAGTCATATGAGTCATATGAGAGGCAGACCAGTGACCGTGAGCAGACAGAATCCAGAATCGCGGTGCCATGAGTGGCGCTGGCTCGAGAAATTTGTCTCACGACTGCAACGGGCACCGGGTAGGAAACGCAGCACATCGGCTCAGCCGGGGTTTAACCGAGCCGAGGCAGAGCCTGGTGCTGAGGCTCAGACCTCAGACGACTCAGACCCTCAGACTCCCTGAGCCTCTAAAGTCCTGGAGTGTCAGAGTCCCTCAGCTTTTGCAGGTACAACTATTTCTTGAATACTCTGGACAACTCACTTGCGAACGAGGCTCCTCCCCGCCACACTGCCCTAGTCCTACCGTCTAGGCCTAGGCCAAGCAGTATGACAGGGAGCCTCATTGGACACCCTCAAGTCGCACTACAACGACCTCGTGAGCTTTGTGCGGAATCTAAGCCAAGAGGCGCTTTGGCAAGCTCGCAGACCACCGTCAGAGTGATCTGCCTCTGCGGGATGCGGCCCGCTCAACCGCATAACGCTTCCTTGTTTGTCTTGGCAGCAGGAAAAGGCAGAGATCCAGCGGGAAAACCAGGACAGGCATTTCCAGACTGTTAGCACGTAGGAGAGCCTGCTGACTTGCTCGAACTTTCAGGTCTGCAGCTCGGGAACTTCAATTGAAAACTGCAGATGCCTGATACCAGGAGAAGAGAGCTAACCTGCAAGAGCTCGGTGGAATGCTTGGGTGTCACAGCCACCAGCTCACAAGAGTCGGAGTCGGTAGAATTCGGCTCCCGATCCCCCTCCAAGAGGGAGCCGGATGATGAGAAGCGGTGATGAGTCTGTCAAGCAGGCAGTGGGAGTGCGGACGCCCGTAAGAACTATGCCGGAGCCATGAGCCATAAAGGAAACTTGAAACGCACCGAGAAGGAAACCTGCGAGCTCAACAGAACGCAAGGTTCACGTAAGGCGGAAATGCACAGCAGGCCGTGCGAAAGGGGCAGCCCGGCGTTTTTGAAAAAGTGCAAGTCCACGCGGAGCACGGACTTTGCTGCTTGTTCTTGCGCAGCAAAAACGACCGCGCGAAGCTGGCGGGAGCCGCCAGGCATCCTTCGGGGGACTTCCGTAGACGGCGCTGGCGAAATCACGAGGACAAACCCCAGCCAGCTTGGAGCTCTCGGACGCTACCGCGGGCATGGAGCAGGCATGGCTCCAGCCGAAATTCTAATCGAAATCGGGCGTGCCAACAATCCAACCAAGGCGGGTACTGATTCTCATCAAGCATCCACTAAGCACGAGATGTTTGGCTGTGATAGGTTCTGGTTTGTGAAAAATGCTTTCTCTCATATCACAAGATGTTGCATCTGTTTCTGCATGCCTGCTGTTTTTGAAGGGGATTGCCATCCGGTTTCTTGAGATGCACAAGCCCCAGGACTGGAGTGCCGAGCGTCGCAAGGAACTACAGGCTTCCGGAGTATCACGCTTCAAAATCGGCAGAACACTATCCGTCCTGCATGGAGGAGCGGTGCCGATCGAAAGGCGTGCTGCCAAATGACTGAAGCAGCAACTCTTCAGGGTGTCTGCAGTTGCTTTCTGTCGTCATGGAAGAGAAGCTATGAAGTTTCCGAGCAGATGCTCTTTACGGCAAGTCGAAGGGACCTGCAGGCAAATGTTAATGTCGAGCTGGAGGGGCGCATCCTTCCGAAATCGTTCCTTTGCGCGACTGTGGCTTCAGGGACGTGGCTTGCATGCATCAGCATGAGCTTTGCCAAAAACTCGCTCTTCGGCATGTCGTGCGAAGTTCCGTCCAGATGCTTTGCAGGTTCGGATGCAAGGTATTGTGGATGATGTTAGATGGAAAGAGCTCGCATAAAGCCGGACTTATCACGTAAGGCTCCGCTTCGCGTGCACTCATGAAGCTGGCACAAGTTCCGCTGCTACACATACCGTGCAAGTCCGATGACTTTTCCCGAGTGAAAGCTTTTGTCATGCCACGACGGAGTATGTTCACGGTGGTCGGACGGAAAAACTAGCTCAGACCTTTCCCCTTCGAGACCCCTGGACCTGACCTTGATCGGCATGCTGCTGGTGCGGATGGCTCGTTTTGGCCCCGGTACCAAATTCCTCCGTCTACCTAGAATGGTTACATCTCCTACAGACCCACAAAACCTCTAAACAATCGCAATTGGGAAATCTTGCCCTGTATTGGTCAGATACTTGTTGGATCCACAGATGTCCACCTGCCTACCTTGATGCGGGCAGAAATAGTGTTGACTGGCAAGACAGCAATCACACTGCTGTCGGCGGCAATTTGTGTGCAGTAATGCTTCGGTTCGAGCACGTATTGAGGAGCAGCACATAGGCAATTATCTGCAGCAGCACAGTGCCACTGCTCTGGACATATCATAGCTTGGCCACATAGATTTCAAAGCTTTGCTCTGGCCCACTGTTGGAAGATCAGACGTTAACATGATCATAGATCATACATTCTGGCACATTGTAGCAACGACAGTTTACGGGAGAGTCGCAGAGCACATGCATTGACACGCATGCCAAGGTGTCGGGGCTGCAAACAGCCTTTTTCACTCTGCAAAAGTGGTGCTGGTTCTGTTCGAGTTTTCAAGGACTGGCAGAGGTGCCAATGATGTTGGAGGATCCCCAGCTGCTGAAGGCCTCTGGGACGGCTTCCTCAGAATCGCTGTTCGTCATGATGCTGCAAGCCTGATGTACGCTACCTACGCACCAATGCATATTTTTTACTTCGTCTGTACTGCAGGCCTTTTCATGCATGTAGTATTCCTGCTTCAAACGAGAGAGTCCGACAGTCTCAACGCGCTTCTGGAATGATTATCAGGCCCGTACACGGGACCAGTGGAAGCCAGGGTCCAATCCCCGGCAACACGCAGCACCATGGGCTGTGCGTCACGAGCTTGTGCAGTCGGTGCCTATGACTTCAACAGGAATGAGGAAGGCCATTAGGATGCCATTGCGATAGCTGCCTCAATCCATATGGCAGACGCCTTTCCAAATCGCCTAGACCGCATCAGCTAGCCAGGCTGTATTGTATAGTCCTAGTCAGAGGGCCCCATCTTAGGTCAGCAATTGAAGTCAACTACTTTGACTCGAAATGGGGCGTGGGCTACATCGTCACTCAGGAGAGACGTGCATGCTGCAGCATGCGGCCTTAGGAGGGGAAGTTGGACAGAGGGAGCTGAGTGCCTTTGCTAACTGTGCTTCCCTGATCCGGCTTTGATGCAAGGCTCGTGCAAGTTGAAGCACAGGCCGAACGCGAGTCGTTACGCCTCGTTGATTTCAAGTAAGCTTTGCAAGCTTCGTAAGGCTTGTCGAAAGAACTTTGCAACAACGACCTCTGTCCCAAACTGCATTGCCCCAGCCGCCGTCCGGGTTGGCTCCAACCGGTGCAGTTCACCTAGCTGCTGAGATTTTGTCCAGGCCGCCGGGAGATGTGAGAGGGTCGTGATAGCTCGAAAGAGGTTGCGCAGCGTTTAGGCTCCCGATAGCCCTGTCGAGACTGAAGAACAGTGAGGGTGGTCTGGCATGTCGGCCCCAATTGGAGTCCCGTTCACAGGTTTCCCGTGCCCACTTCAATGGAGCTGCTCGCGGGGCGTCCTCCGGGGGCTCAGGTTCCGACTCTGCCTTTGATCTGTTTAACTTTGACGAGACTCTTAGGGCGTGCAGTCCTGAATGGTTGTATGATATTGCCACGACGTGTAGCCAGCACTGCATACGCAGGTTCGATGAACTTTTGCTTTCACCGGGAGTTGTTTTGCCAATGCCAACTTGAAAGCAAGCTTAGAAGCAGGTGCTACTGCCACGGAGAGAGCCACCACCGTCGAAGCTGCCAGGGTGGACTGCAGGCATTGCTCGATACTGGTCCGTGCTTTCAACATGTGTAAACGGTCTCGTGTACATTCTCCAAGACTCGCCTCGTGTGACATCGAATCAAATCGAAAAGGATCCCCTGCATCCCCTGCCAGGTGGAAGCAGCAGTTCGAGCGGAAGCAAAGCGCGAAGCAGATTTCATCAAGGCACATTTGTAGGAAAACGTTGTCTCGGAATAGGAAGGACCAGGACATGAGCATGCATACGTCTGACGTTGCATTTTGAGCTTCTGTGCATTAGGCGTGACTGCGCCGGCTGTGCTTTGCACTCTCCGATTCTACCGTCGGTCTTGCCGGCAACGATGGAGAGGCATGCTCAGAGCGTAGCGACATAGCTTGCAGGGTCGGAAAAGACCTTCTACCAAGCTGCATGTCAGGAGCAGTGTTGGTGTAGTGCCTCGAGAGCCCTTCAGCTCCAAGCTGCTTGCTGCAGAGGATTGTGAATACTTGAATACGACTGTTTGCCAATGCGAGCCATGCTCACTTTATTGGGCATGGAGGAAAATGTCAGCACAGATCCAGCTGGCACGTGCAGCAACCGGTTTTTCGTGGCTCCAATGCCTTGGTGTCCTCCAGTTCGACGCTCTCGAGTCATACCATGAGCACGCAGGCGCGAGTTGAAATCCCATGAGTCCTGTACAGGTCGCACAGTGGCCTACAACTTTCCTCCCGGCTTGGAGGTTGGGGCACCATAGAGAAGAGGTTGTAACTCATTAACAAGTGAGGTGGTGGCAGTACTGCAGGGGGCAACACCTTCCACATACAAAGTCACGATGTCACCCCAGCTTTGATGAACTGCATTTCGCAGCCCCTCGCATTTGTTCTGGATACTTTGCCACGCCCTGCCCGTGCAACAGCTCGATACCTCCATCGACATTCCTGACCGGCCGGAGAAGCGGATGGTGAAAGAGCTCAGCCGCTATGAGGACCTTTGCTGCAAACATTTGACGGCGCATGATGCTCTCTTCCATGCCAGTATTCCTCTGATTCCATTCCAACCAGGACCCCGATGACCCCATTCGACCGCAAGCTCCACCGAGAGATCGCAAGGCAAGGCAAATGCTGTAGGGAGGGGAAAGGACTGCAGGTGGACCGGAAATGGCTTGTGTGCTGCTCCTCTGAGACTCCTCTGACACGTATAACATGATGCTCTTCTCGAGGAGTAGTGCGGATCCCTGCTTGGAGAGAACAAGAGTTTGAAAACGACTGCCCCTGGGGTGGGACATGCCAACCAACTTTTTCTATTGGGTGTTCACCTTCGCGTCTCATCGTCTGACTTGCTGTTTACCGAAGCGGCCGACCTATGGAGACATTCTGTTTGGTGGCATCAACTGCAGGGCCTCTGGGCACCTCCAGGACCTCAGGCGATTGCGGCGCCGGAGGTGCAAAACACAGTTTGCACAGCAGAGAGTCTGGGACCCCGGCCGGTGCTTCGGTGGCAGGTCCTCGTGGTGGGCCTAGGCAGACGGCTCCGTGCTGACGAGGCCAAGCCTGAGGGCTGCGCAGAATGCAATGCAAAGAATGCAACGAATGCGAGCAGAACCACAACGGACCAGGAGGATGGTCCTCGTGCTCGCTTGGGTGCGGGAGCTGTGGAGGCAGGTCTCCGAAGGTCACAGCGCAGTTCCGTTGTGACTCGAGCAGGCCCTGCAGCGGCGGTACCAGGTTCGGACGCACTTCGATGCCGATGTGCAGGGGTCCGCAAAGGGTGATGGGGGACCTGAATCTTGTGTTTACAACCTTCATTGAGATCGATGATCCATGCATGCCCAATGATTACTTGCACATCTGTTTCTGCTGTTGTGTTGTTCCGTTTTGTTTGGCCCTCGAAGCCCTATGAAAAAGCTCATAGGCTAGTCGGCATCAGGTCATCAGGCAGTTGTCATGGCTAAGCGAAAAAGAAAGGAGGAGAGCATCTATCGAAAAAGGGAGGTCCCGTAAACGTGGTTCTCAGCATGCACTCTGAGCCCAGACGCCCAAGTGGCGCCTACATCACGCATGCTTCGGACTGCAAGTGATTGTGAGGGATGTTGCAAGAAAGCAGGTACATGGCCACTTGCCGTGCCAGTCTGGACAAGTCGGGCCGTGCGGGCGTGCAGAAGATTCACTTAATGCAACCATTGGTTGCGCATGACACCGATGCGGGAAGCTCAGAGACTCGGTCGCGTGGCCTTCCGGAATTAGGTCGCCAGCTGCGTGGCAAAAGCATCTGTTCTCTGCTGGATGGACTTGAGACAGCTTGAGCGACGACAGTCATGCAAAATGCACCCAGCCACGGATCCAAATGCAGTCAGACATAGCCAGGATATCCGACTAATACTGCTGCATGTGTCTGCGGCATGCGCGTGGGCTTCTGCTGTCGGCGCAGCGCTGGGGCCAGGCGATCAGCATAGTGTGCAAAGCCGTTGCATCAAAGAGAGCGTGTCCCGTGTGCAGAGGGAATTGTCGGGTTGAGTCATTGCGTGATTTCGCTGCAGGCGGCTGCAGGCATTTGCACAGAGTCGGCGCGAGCGGCTTCATGCCTCTCTGCAGGACGAGGTTGGCGAGCTGTGGCATTATGTGGGCCAAACAGAGAGGAGCAAACCAAGGTAAGCAATCATTGTACTCACCTGCCCACGTGTCGTGGACATTGATGTCCGCCACAAGTTTGAAGGCCAACGCTTTGTTCAAGGAGGTCAGTGCGGAAAAGTTCAACGAGCCTGGCACGGCCGAAGATGTGCATCCTCAGTGCCTGAAGGACCGGCAATAGCTGAAGAGTATCTGCCAAGAGCTACCTTTTGAAACAGCACAAGTACAGCACATGTGCCAGTACTGATTCAGTGAGCTAGCAGTCTCTTGCGGTGGATCTGCGCTCAACCGAAGTCAGCCCCACAGAGTTTGAGGCTTGCTGTTTGGTGATGTGTTGCATGTGCGGCGAGGACTTCGATCGATGCACGTACCAGGTTCTGGTGGCTTCGTTTCTGTAACTTTAGATGCAGTGCCCTTGATCCCAAGCTTTGCGTAATCATGCATTCATGACCATTCCTGACATATGTGACAGAACCGACACTGCAATCTGTGTTGAAGTCGCGGCCCCTGAGATTGGTAGCTGCAACTACCAACCTGGGCAAGCCGCGGACTCCGGAGACATCGCCAACGTTCGGGGCACGGCAATGTCACATTTCAAGCCGCCTGCGCATGGGCGAAGCTGCGTTGCAAGATTTGTTTGAGGCTCGGCAAAGCTTCGCCAAGCGGCTTAGAAGCGGACTCAGTTCCGGGAACCACTTGGCGCACATCTTAGCATGAGTCATCCTTTGGTGAAAGCGGATCCCAAGGCGAGGAGTGCTCCTGCAGCGCTGCGGGAGTTCGTGCCTTGCCCTGGGTCCCTGGGTCAAGCTAGGGATTTATCAAGTGTTTATGTAAGCGCCTGCACACGGGCTTCTTGGAAGAGTGAAAAGGATCAAGACTCAAGATATCTCAAGGCCTGGAATGGTGTGTGTGTGTGTGTGTGTGTGTGTGTGTGTGTGTCCACAAGCGGGACGCTACATGCATCCTCACCTGTTTCTGGGGCAACACTGTTCTTCAAGTTCAGGGTGCAAAATTGCACCTGTCTGCACCAGCATGATCCTTGATCGCTAAGGTTTGCGAAAATCCTGTATGCAGCTTCCTGTAATCCACGACAGGCATCAACTCAAGCAAACACCAAGACAAACAAGTCCATGACAATCCGACATCTAGTTCAGTTGTCATATCCCATCGGCTTCAAAGCCAGCCATGCCAGCACGAACAGCAGCATGCCATTGTCACCAAAACCATGTACAATCTATCTCAGATCGTCCTGTGGATGACTACCACTAGCCACCAAACGCTTCAGAGGGGAGTTCCCCAGGATGGAGGCCGTCGGACTCTCCATTAATTACGGCACCAGCCCGACTTCGATCGAACACCAGCGCTCCGACCAGAACGCGTGTCGGCTGGGCCACTCGAGTGCCACCCTGTCACCCGGCTCTGCGAAACAGCGAAGACTCACACACTCTGCCAAGCTCGCAGATACCCTGTTAACGCATTAGCACATGGTTCCAAACCTTCTCACCACAAGAATCCCCAATGCCGTAGCACCAATGTCGTTGTCTTTGTTCCTCCAACAGCCCACGAAGGTGCCAGAATCCACCCAGGAACGCGCATAAACTCATAGACCAACGCGCTAAGCACCCTAGCTTTTCTACATGCCGCAGCGGCGAAGGAGACCTGCCGCATGATATCCCACCTGTTCAGGTGTGATTTCGGCTTTGTGTTCGCAAATTTCTATGGCACACCTGGCGACTGCTACAGAGCTGCATTGGATATGGCGTTGCAGTGTTAGCGAACACTCAAGTGGCCCGGCGAGACGAAGTGACTGAAGGTCAGTTTCTCAGGGCCCCATGCCTACGCGCTGCCCGGTCCCTTGCCTCCAGGGCTATACAAGGGCCACGGGGAATGTTCATGTAGCTTCTGCGCAGGTATGCCTGAAAAGCCGGTCCTGTTGCAAGGTTGAGACATGTTGTCAAGCTGGTGCACATGCTAATTCGACTGTCCGTGCTTCAGCTTTCGCCTCATGTGTCCCTTCCTTGAGCCCCTCCCGAAGTTCACATCATCCACTGCCGGACGGAACTGCAAAACGAATCAACAAATCATGCAAATCCTTTGACTGGCAGGAGTCGTGCTTGCAGGAGACAGACAAGGGATGAATCCATGTCATGTGGCAAACAACTCTTACCCCAGCGCTACGTAATGGGATTCTGACCGTTTGCCAGTTGGATCCCTGTCACTGAGTCACTACTATCGCAAATGCCCAAAGCACTCTCTGTCTCAGAATCTTTCAGACATTCCGGGCTTGCCCGTGCATGTGCTGGCGTTACAAGCAAATCTAAATGCCTGGACGTGAGTGGGGTGCCAGTTCCAGAGCCCGTCGACCTGGATTGACGTCTTTGGATCCCCAAAATGGAAGAGTTGTTGTTGACGGCTCAGGCAGTCCCAGAAGTGTCGCACAACTGTCATCAAAAAGGAGCGACACAGCAAAACAAAGGCAGCGCGACAGCTCCAAAGAGAGACCCCTTTGTGCAGGGCTCCTTTTTCCACGAGTATGAAGAGAGTGCCAGAAAGAGGTTTCAGAGGAAAGGCTGAAGAAGAAAACTTAGCTCCAGACCTGATCGTTGGCCTAGTGGTGAGCTTCGTGGTAGTTGTCAAGATTGCAAGATGACATTAAGCTCGTTTGCGGAGTTGGAGGTGGCTTCACGAAGGCGCGGATCCACTTGCGCCGCAAGTCTGAGGCCAGGTATCCAGCACAGGTCGGTTCCAGTGTCTCCACGCTCGCGCTGCAATGACAATTAACAGCATGGCCCGTACTGCAGCTAGTTGGTCACTATTCACATTTCATCCACCGGAATGCTTCGAATAGGGAAGGAATCGCTCTGGCCTTGTAGCTAAGCGCCGCGGACCTCCAAATTGGAGGAGTCCTCGGATCTCATCCTCGGCATCGAGCGTGCGGCAAGAGGCTTCGAGTCCTTCTCGCTGCCGGAGGATGGCCAGGCAGGTCACAGAGGGGCCCGCAGGGGCGGACATGGGCGGACTACAACTGTAATCAACATGAAGTCGTGTTCACACCAGAAGCGAAGCTTCTATGCTAACTCTGCACTCAGCTATGCAGCACTCGTCAGGTGCACGACTGCCACAAGACTTCCTCGATACAAGAATCGGCGGAAGTCCAGTTTCGGTGTTCTTCCGAAGGCACCCCGCAAATTTGAGTGAAGTGGTGGCAGGAGAATTGAGATGGAGTCGTTCTGTGTCATGCTGCAGCCTTTGCTGAACGCATGCCGAACATGGCTCCACCATGAAGTGCGCTGCTTGCATAATGAGCGCCGACAATCCAGTTGAAGTCAGTAAAGCACTGCCTGACGAATTCGAACATGGTGCTGTTGACAGGCGTCCTCGTTGATGTTCTGGATGTTCGCGAGGCAGTTCCTGAGTAGAGATTGAATCAACTGTTGCATTTCATGGAGGCACGAAATTGGTGAAGCCCTGCAGCTCATCCCAAGCCCCATGACCTGGAAAGGCCATCACGCTCTGCTTCCCAGACGAACGTGTTGTCGTGCATGACGGGCTCCCGCAGCTTGGACCCGGATGTTTCGGCTGTGTGGGTTTGTGGGTTGGGACCCTGGGGTCAGACCTCAGTGGCCGGAGTGTGAGCAAATTTAGTATGCTGGATCCAGCCCCTGACTTCGAGCTCAGCTCCAAAGCGTGGAGCTGCAGCAAATGGCAGATGCGGAGCTTCATTGCTGGATGCAGAAGTTTGCCATGAAATCCTCAGGTTGCACTTCCGCTCGCCGCCGGCGGGGGAGAGCTTCCTTCGCTTGCTTGGTTTCTTGGCTTGGTGGGAGTACGTGGGACAATCAAGAGGGACAGGCTTTGACAGCACCAGAAGTGGGCAATGCAAGAGGCGACTCTTTCTGCCAAGACAGCACTCTCTAAGGTGGGTGCCTCGTTCGTTGGGCAAACGCGCTCGGCTTCCTCCGCATGCTGCAGCCAAAGCGAAAGCGGGCTTGAGGAGAAAATGCAGCGTCCGGGGTGCGCATCCGTGTCTCCGAAGCCGCAGTCTCGCTTGGGCATTTCTGATCGCTGGTGTGCCTTTGCTCAGGTGGCACATGCTCTGGAAAAGCTCACCAGCAGGCCACGTATGGATCAGGCTCTCTGCTTGCTGGCTGGAAAGAGCAACAATACAGTCTCAAGAAGTTCTTAGTGTACTTGGGTGACTCGTCTTTGGTTCCAATTCGATCGGGTCATATCCTTTGCAAAGGGTTGCAGGGGTTGCCCCTACAGCGACGTGCCCAAATCTCGGACAGCCGGCTTGCGCTGTCTTCGCCGACCAGTCTGGCAAAGTAGCTTCTTTGGCGATCCTCCCATCTTGCACAAGTTAACCGGAGAGGCCCATAAGCCGTGAGCATCAGAATCTGGAGGTTTCTGCAGCCTGTAATTGTTTAGCGTCAGCTATTCAGAATTCAAAACACACGCAGACCGTCTCAACAAAAGCCTCCCATGGCCTGCATGCTCCAGTGTCCTGGTTTAGTAGGGCACGGATGGCCGCGGAACACACCGTGGAGACAGAGGGCATCGCTTCCATCCCATGTTCCTGTCCGATGTGCTGGCGACTCGAAGCCACGTGCTTTTCTAGGAGCCCTCGTCCTCGTCACATCCTCAGCCGCCTCCGGCGCCTCAGCCTGGGCCGCGGCACGGGTGCGGCGTTGGTCGCGGCACAGGGCTCGGCCGGCTCGGCTCAGACGGCTGCCCCGCTGGGTCGCTGGTGGATTCCTCGTGGAAGGAAACTCCGAAACTACGAAGCTCCCCAGCGAAGTAAGCATCGGGAAGCTGTTGACTTGGGCACGCAAGCAAGAGTTCATGAAGGTGCACCCCGTGCTTTCCGCCAGAGCTTCTCAGCTCTCAGTTTCGGTGCCAGTTGAGGCAGGGACTCCACTCCTCGGAGTTTTGGAGGATGGCTTTCTCTTTGAGCCTGAGCCTAGCGACGGCGAAGGGGTCTGGCAACATCTCTACCAAGCCGCGAGGAAGCAGCATCCTGACTGGTGGGCACTGCACCTCGCCATTCCTTTGCTGAGACAAAGCTTCTCTGCATCCTTCACATCTCCTATTTGGCAAGCCCACCTGCAGAGTGCCTGAGATGCAGGAAGGTTTTACAAGTGTGTTTGCACTTGTCATGCACTGATGCTACTTGCCTCAGCAATGCATTTGTTTTTACATGTGTCACGATGGCAGCGCAGTAGTAATAGACAGCACAGGCAGTGCAGTCGTTTCGTTTTCGCACCCCATGCACGCCGAGGCCGAGTAGTACTTTCGGTTTCTGAGATTCTTTTATCACGACGACTACTTACTACCACCACTGCCAGTACCACGACCACCAAGACCACGACGACGACCACCACCAAGACCACGACGAACAAGAGGACTGCAAACTTCTCGTACTACTACTACTACTACTACTACTACTACTACTACTACTACTACTACTACTACTACTACTACTACTACTACTACTACTCTACTACTACTACTACTACTACTACTACTACTACTACTACTACTACTACTACTACTACTACTACTACTACTACTACTACTACTACTACTACTACTACTACTACTACTACTACTACTACTACTACTACTACTACTACTACTACTACTACTACTACTACTACTGCTACTACTACTACTACTACTACTACTACTACTACTACTACTACTACTACTACTACTACTACTACTGTGATGACGACGAGGGGACGGACTACGAAATGAGACAGCAAAGCGAAAGCGGCAGCAGGGTTGTGGTACAGGAGGGTTATACACAAGTCCTGCAGAGGGCGTGCGACCATCGTGCATTGCACACAGCAATATATGCGAATGTGTTACAGTGCCATTCCTCCTTCCAGGCATTCCGCTGCGGCCTGCAGCGCCGCATCTGTGGAGCTTGGAGCAGGCCAACGAGCTGCGGCTTGGATGATCGCCCCCTGAGGCTGGCCTTGAGCAGTCTGACAGTCTTCGTCCGTAAGGCAATACGTGGAAATCAAGGCGGCGCTGAAGACTCGGATCGAGGCCCGTGCCGCCCCCGCACGCCTTGGCCAGTAAAGCAGGCCCTAACCTGCCCATTGCATGCTGTGGAGTTTGCGTGCAACATCCCCGAAGGCTTTGCAAACTTTCCATCGAGACCACATCTCGCCTGAGGCTTGGCGGATGTCAGGGACTGACATTGATTCGTGGCGTTGTTGATGAGCTGAGCTGTGCGTATAGCCTAGTACATTGTGCAGGAACGTGCAGGAGAAAGGCAGTAGGGAGCCAGCATCGCAGCAGATTCCACAAATTACCGCCGGCCATAAAAGTACAAAACTCCCCACGGCAAAAAGGGTCCGTGATTTTGGCATGCAGGAAACGGGCTCGGCACCTTCAGTGCTCGAGCTGGGCCGTGCTGTCGCAGTCGCGGCTTCCCGCGGCATGGAGGCACTCGGAAAACTGGGGTTTATGGACGTTTTCTATGCTTGTCAAGAGGTGCTGGGATTGCTTCAGTCCAGAAACTTCAGGTGAAGCCGGGGCTTCGGGCGCTGATTCCAGTGCTTGATCTGATCGGACCGCCGGAGGTGACTTGGCAAAAGATTCGACATCAGTCTTCCCAATCAGTGGAAAGTTGACATGCTCAGAGCCCCAACGCCTTCCGCTTTCGAAAGCGACCGCGTGACTCGCACCGGATGTAGTGGCAACGGAGTGAAGCAAATGGCTTGTTGGCGCTGTTTCTGTCAGGCAACTACCTGTGCAGGTGAGGACCGGGGTGGAAATGCAGAGCTGGAGCGAGGGCTGGGCAAGGGGGCGAGTTGAAGCGGGCGCCAGGACACTCCGGAGCCCAGCTGCCACTTCGCCATGGAGCCATCGGGAGGCCTTGAGATCCCACTGCCTTGAGGGCTCGAAAGGCTCCCGGTGTCACAGTCTTGCGAATTCCTCTTCGTGGATGTCTTTGCTCGGAAGTCGCACAGGCATGGCTCCGGCGTCCAGAGATCGGAAACTTGCAACAAGAAGCTATACAAGTAGGGTACACACGCACACAACTTGCAGAATCGCGACAGACAAACATGTGAAGACGGTCAAGATCAAGCGAATCGCCGTGCGTTTCTGTGCCCGGCGCCATGGCACCCTATGCAAAGATGGTGGACCTGGGTGACATCGGAGCTGCGCTTTGTAATTTACCCTCGCCCCAAAAGCCAGAGGAGGAGCTCGACGACGAACCGGACCCTATGTGGGTGATGACACTGGGACACAGTGGTTCCATCAAGTCCATCTTGGAAGACTGGACCCGCTGTGGCTCAAAGAGCCCACGTGCTTCCTTCTTTCGCTGGGCTGCGCGAGACCACATCAGCTCGCCTGTGCAGGCCAACTTTCACGGAGGGGTTTGCTTTTCAGACGTAGCACGCAGCCCACACCCCAGCAGCCCCAGCCTGAAAGCCGCCCACATGCCACATGTGTGCTGATATGTGCTGATTGAAGCAGCCGCTGCCTGCAAGGGTGTTTTCGTAGCGCCAGAGCGCTCTATGCATCTGCGACACGAGAACCGCTTAGCCAAGTTCATGCAGGACAGCTTGTGGTGTGGGCATGTCAAGGCCGTGTTCTCTAAACGCTCTTGCGCTGCAACAGGAAACCCAGCAGTCTCCCAAGACCCTCGAGAAGCTCGTGTCCGCACGTCGGCAGCGGGACTTCGAGGAGGAGCAGGAGGACGTCGGGTGCGAGAATACAATGTGTTTCGCGAGACGTAGCATGTGGTTGCAGGGCACTGAGAGAGTTGGTCTCGAATCTCGACACCGCGGCACAAAATTATGCAGCATAGGGGTTCGCGTTCCAGCGCACGCTGTCCAGGAATTTTGCAGGCTTCCTGATGGAAGTGAAGTTCACAAAGTTTTGTTCTTCAGTAGATTATTTACTGTTCCAGTCAACGAGTTCGGTTGTCACGAGAGATGTGCTTGACGGTTGGGGGAAGTGGATGATTCTCCGAGCCATGGGCAATTCAACACCAGGATTTTTGCCACATGCAGGCTTCAGGTCGGGTCAAAGCCCCGGGGCGCATGAGGAAGATGCTGCTGCTTGGAATGTGTTGGTGCGTTTGCGGCAGAAATGCAGCGAGGAGCCCGGGAAGCGAGATCGTGCAGCTTCGTTGCGCGAGGGGGCTTGGTCTAAGTTGACAAGCAGCATGACAAGCATGTCCTGGCTTCGGTCTGTCACCAACTGAAAAGTTGTTAGAGGTTCTGCTGCATCCTGTCATCATCATTTTCCGAAAGAGTCTTACCTCTAGCTTTTGCTGGTACAGTAACCCGATGTGGGAAACCCTAGCTTTCACGCGCAGATCGCTGGATGATGAGTCGATGCAAGCGAGCCATCAAACATGGGTGCAATGCTTCATGGCGTGGCCTTAGCCCGCTGATGTAGCCCTCCTGCGGCTGCCCACTGGTCCCACATTGGGCCTGTGTGAAGTGCCCCAATGTCGGGGGGGGGGGAGTAAGATGGCCTCGAGTCTTGCCGAAGCTATTCGTGACCCACTTGACTTAGATCAGATCTGCAACCCAACCCAGAAGCTTCATGTACCGACGGATGAGCATGTTAAGCTTTGGGCACCGGAACTGTGTTTCTATTTATGCTATATCTATATCTATAATACGTATATATGATCAAAATTACTGATCATTTAATCGATACCATTGTTTGTTCCTTGCAGGACTTGGATCGGAAATTGGAAAAGGGTGCGCTACACTGAACTTCCAAGAATCCTAACATTCTCGAACCCAAAAGTTGTGGATGTTTTTCCAGTATCAACTTGTGGAATCCTTGGTCTGGGTTTTGAAGCTCTGAGACTCGTGATTTCGATGGATTGAGAGTCTGACTGCATGAGGTCCTCGTCACATTCCGAGAGACGGTTCAGCGATCAGGGCATGGCTACAAACATACAAAATCAAAATGAGTGAAGCCATCGAGGGTCTCCGCATTTCGTCAGACTTTGTTGAAAGTGTGGATCTGTTGATAGTTGTATGTATGTGCGCTTTGTGTGTGTGTGTGTTTGTGCACATATATAACATATGTATTTACAAATATTTGTGTACATGCAGAGACCTGAATACTTGGAGCAATCTGAATACAGTAGGGTCCGTTCCCCGGTAGTGGTGGCTGTTAATTTGCGCAGGCCTCATGGCGAGTTCTGAGGCAATCTTCAACCGTAACTCTTCAACCAGACCTTGACTTCATGTCAGAGCTTATCTTAACCCCGCGCACGTCGTTCTTTGTGATTTGGTATTGGTTGCCAACCTAAATGAGAAGATACCGTCGCTCACCTTGTCAGTCGACTTTGAGAGGCATCATGCATGTCAGCGTCAGTGTCGCCATAGTCAGCACGCTTGGCTTGGTCAAGTGGCTATTAGTCACGTGTTTGTGTAAATGTTGCCTTTCAATGTTGACGCGAGCATCGAACAGTAAATTACGTCCGTCATCAGACGTCTTTTCGGAACGTGGCCTTCAAAAATGTTAACAAGCCTTGTTGGCAGCATGCAGCTTCCTGGATGGATTCCTAGAGTTACCAGCATCGCTGCACATACTGTTTCGACCAACATCATTTGACGTTGATGCGATTCGTACCATCGGTGTCCGAACCACGTCTGATTCGAGGCGTGTTGTCAGGTTGGTATGCTTCCCGTGATAAGAACTTACAGTTTCGCAAATGTCGGAGATGGCACGTTTGAATCCCAGCACAGAAGTAGCCAGCTGAAGCAATGACACCACTGTTCTCCGCTCACAAGGCCCAGTGCTATAGAATGGTGTAGACATCCACTATATTATCCTTTGGTGACCATTAGCTTCCAACACCAAAGGAACTATCAATATTTGTATTACTTATTAGTTGGCCTTCTTACATATCGTATGCACTTATTCGTGTGTTTTAACAAATTTCTATGTATATGTATACAACATAGTCATATGTTATACTCTAGCAGAGTTTGTTCCGAAGATGCTTAACTAGTCTTCCGACTTGACTTAGACCATTGCCGTATCAGGAGTCCGTAAACGTGAGGAGCATACTGCCGACAGTTAAGTCAAGTCGGCTAGTCGCGAATGCTTCGGGTCGGTGTTTGATCTTGTGCTCGCCTCCAACGTTAGGCGGCTCAAGCAGCGACTGCTCCTTACAGACAGAGGAAGCAGTCGACGATTCGCCGGCTAGTCGCCAATGCTTCGGGTCGGCGTTTGATCTTGAGCTGTCTCCAATGTCTGACAGCTCAAGCGACTCCAGAGAATCGACATGTATGAAGTACAAATGGCGGCACCCGGAGTCTGATTCACCTGATTCAGGCCTGTGTGTTGAGAGCGCTTCCGGTCGGGCTGTTTTCACAAGAAATGCTGTACGTCCGGAGATGGAGATGGCAATCGCGACCAAGTGCCTGTGATCCCAGTCTAGAATAGCCAGTGCCATGCATTTGTTGCACATACAGGATCGCGCCCTGCTGAAATTTGTAAGTATTCGTTGCTCAGATGAGCCGTGCCTGGACTCCGGTATCACTCTGTTGGCAAACTTCTTCTTTGATCTACCTGTGGTCCTGAAGCCTCTAATTAGCCTTTTAATGCCTTGGGACGGGCCGAGGAGAAAATGCCCTGTCTCCAAAGGCTGTCTTAAGATTGAGTGATGCTCACACAGGCATGGTGACTGATCCCTGGAGCCATGCGACGAGTGGCTCGTGCGAGTTGCGGCTACCGTGCTTCCCCTTGCCGCACGCTTGCTGACCTCTATGGCAGTACCTTCCACAGAAACCGAAGCCTGCGAAAAGCTGTGACATTGAGAGCAGCGCGTTCGTTATTATTGGTTGCTTGCTTCCGCATTTTGATCTGTGGAAGGTGCTGCACATCACTTAAACTTTTTCAAGTTTAAATCGGTTTTGCAGGCATCTAGTGTTTAGAGTGCTGCATCGCGGAGCCAAGTTGCTCAGCGATGCCGGACACATAATTCTCAGTGTTCAGTTTTTGTTAGACAAGTCATGCTGAGAGCTCAGCAAGAGCCTCTGCGGCCAGTTCACCTGGACAGAACATTCGTAGCTGCAGCTGCTTGAAAGCTGCCGCTGCAACCACCAGCAAGGTGGGTGGATGGCAACGTGGGCTCCTCAACTGCTCGGCTCGATTCTTTGCAGCTTGCAGACATTGGAGAACGGATCAGACTGTTCCTGCAGCGTTGGAAGCATCCAGAATTGTAGACTCATATAGAGTGCATGGATCTGACTTGCGGGCACAGTCGGCTAATTTTAGCCAATGCTGCATCTGCCGCTCGAGATCAGCCAGGTATTGCGGAAGCAGGAAGATCGGATTCCTAAGTTAAAACCCTTCAAGAAGCGTTGCTCTTGGAGGCTTACCGGTTATTTGGCGCCAGCATCTTCCTGCATGAGCTCAGACCGACCTCTGAAAGAGATCTCAATCCAGCCACATGTAAAAGAGATCAGGCTCATGCATTCAGATACCTCAGGACCAACAGACTATCAACCAGAAGTACACAGTTGCAGTTTTCTGTGTGCACGGTTGTTGATGAAACTTTCAGAAAGCTCTCTGTGTGGAGGTCCGGGGGGCCGTGCCATCGCTATCGTCACGGCGGCAAGGGACCTGCGCGCAGGTGCTGTCTTGAGTGGGAGGCCATCAACAGCGGAGTCGGCAGTATTTGTAGCAGAGCGTTTCGAGGTGAATGCTTGAGCCGCGATGTGGATGCCTGTGCAGACTCGCTGCTGCTGGACTGGGGCCTTGCTTCCACTAGCAGGCCAAGATCGAGTTTGGAAGTGTGCGTGCTGTGAGTGTCACCATGTCTCCATGCAGTGCATTAGGATCATCGGATCAGACTGGGACGTCTTTATGTATGCCCTTCTCGTGTTACTCGTAGGTAGTCTGCACTCCCAGGAGAGATGACGTCTCCATACATGTGACTCGGATGCACGGGCCCTGCCAATTGTCCCCACAGGCCGAGGCCTTTCAAGCCGCGACCCGCCGATTGTGAATCGCTGTCCCTAGGTGGGCATCAAGAAGGGCGTGGCCCAGTCCTGGCAAGTCTCCGCACTTAGAGCCCTGCAGAACTCGGTTCATGTCGTGGAGCTAATTAGGTAGATCATTTTCAGGGGTTCAGAGGCAGGAAGGTACATGACGACAGATGCTGCCTTCTCCTTCCAAGTCCTCGACTTGCACGCTGAGGAGAGCTCTTAGATCTTCGGCCAGGCGACGATGGTGGCTGGGTGGCTTCGGCAAGGGTGCGCAGGACCGAAATCCAGAAGCGATCAGAATCGCAAGTGACGGCTTCCGAAGCTTGAGCTCAGGAGTTCTTCGCTTCGCAAAGCCCTGGACCCCAAACTCTGGGTGGCGGCACGCACTCCGGCGATGGGGGTGGAACCTTTGTGGCTCCGGGTGCGGAGCGGCGGAGCGGGTGCAAGTGCTCAGGTATTCTCGGCTGCAGCTCCAAGGCCGAAGCGTTGGGAGCCGTCGCACCGACGCAGTTTTCAAAGAGCAAAGGGCGATGCCGGAGAAGAGATCTTCATCACATGATGCCATGCGCGGATTTCTAGCTCGTCTAGTTGACGAGTGTTCAAGACTGTCGCGGACATAACAGGACTGGGACGTGCGCTCTCGTGAGGAGATGCTACGTGCCGGGCTGGACGGCACTTGGCGCAACTGAGTTGTCAGTCTTTGTGACAGGTTGTTCGGCTCCGTTGAAACTTACACTCAAGGCCTATAGTGTGCCTTAAGGTGTTTCGGCGGCCCATCGGCGGCGTGCTTTGTGGGTCCTGAAACAGGCAGTGCAGGCCGGCACTGTGCTTAGATAATGTGCTAGCACCGTAGACCGTAAGGCAACGATCTGGGTTCCCTCGCAAGATTGTCTGTCGTGCTGTGAAGCCATGTAAAAAACCGTTCCTTCCGCTGTCGCAGAGTGCCTTGAACTACTTCGAGACGAGTGCACCAGATGATGAGGACTGGACACGCAACATTAGCTTTCCGTTCACATAGCGACAAGCAGTAGTGCTTGTGCACTGTGCACATCTCACATCGGCATGGAGCGGTGTAACGAGGGTCCATCTTATCTACCAGTACTCGCAGCAGCTTTGGCGAAGCAAGATTTCAATTGCTTTCGCTGAAGGAGGTGATCCGTCTCACGGAGGATGAGCGACAACGCGTGGCAGCAGCATACAGGCTTCCGACAGCAGCATCGTGTAGACGCCGGGGGATGTCACAGCTTCACTTGGGCAGCCATAATATGCGACGTGCAGAGACGCGACCGATGCCCTGGGCTTGTCTTCGGGAATAGCCCACAATACAACCTCCTCGAAGACGGGCCACGGAAGCTCTGGAACTATGTTCCCACACGTGCGCAGTGATAGAACATGCTTTCTGTTCGGGTAGGTGTGATTTCCGCATGGGCCTTGGTATCCACATCGCTGATGAATGCTGATGACGGCTTGTATGCTCTCTGCATGATCTGATCTGCATAGCATCCTGAATGTTTCTGGGTACGAGGATATGTTTCGTTGCGAAAATCGAGAACTGTACCGCGCACACACAACCCAAGAACAAAAACCCAACATGTGCAGATGTATGTGTTATTCTGGCCTCAAGTAAAAGGACATATAATCCAAGCGCCCTTGGAAGGTTGGGCAAGAAGCAGATCCTCTCAGACGTCCTTGCGTTGCTTGCGGCACCCTCAGTCCCAGAGACACGAATCAGCTTGTGAGGTGTTCTAGTCCCTACGAACCTGTATAGCCATAAGTGAGATAACCCGATAACCGGGGATAACCTGTGTGGACTTCCTATACCCGGTTTCGCCTCGGGCTGGGAGCAGAGTCTCCCCAGAGCTCAAAAACCCGAAGCCAATTTCTGGTAACACCTAGCAGAAGGGACATCCACCGCCCCGTTTGCAAAGGACAAAGCTGATGCGAAGGTTGCACGGAGACGAGCTTCGCTCGAGAAGGACCTTGCACAGTTTGAAAGAGGTGTCTATGGACTCAGTGATCATACTGTGATATACTCTGGTCACGTCTACATTGCAACCAACAGTCAGTCAGGCTCCGCGTTGCCAAGCAGACGCAGTTCACTCGAAGTTACACAGTTGCAGGAGACGAGCCTTCCTGCTGTGGTGACCGGCAAGCGCAAGTCAACCAAAGGTAAAGGTTTCGGCTGAGCTCCCCAGCCTCAAAGAGAGGCACAGCGTTGCCAGCATGAGTGGAGTCGGCAGAGCAGAGCAGAGCAAGACGCTTTGCGCTTTGCCGAGCCTTGTCCCCGTCTGTGTCACACATGTGGTTGGCGCGGCGCATGAAATGGCTGTTTGATTGCCTGCTCTTTGCACGGCTGAACGGGTGCTGCATGATAGAATCCAAGACGCACTGAGAAGGCCATGGTCCTTTTCGTCCTCAGCGACCCGCGGCTCCCCTTCGGTCAGCTGCGGATGCGTACCACGCCGTAAAGGGGGAGAAGGGACCAAATGGATAGCGGGTTTTAGGCCATGAGTGTCCCATGCTGCATAGAAGCCAAAGTTTGGCCGCGGATTGCTCCAATCGATTTGCACAGGTAGTGCTTTCGACAGCACAAATCCCTGGCTGAGATCCGCCTACGCTGCCCTAGGCGCAGCTTCACCCGTGTTGCAACATTCCTAGGATTACGACGCTTTACTGCAATGCTAGCACACAAGACTTGACAGGCCCCGGCAACCGAGTGACGTGTCTTTACATCGGTGCCGGTTCGAGCATGCGGTCACAGGCCCGGTGCCCTCCCAGTTTGTGATGGATTGCACCTGGTGCCTGGTGCGCCTCTGCGAAGAGAGTGAAGGAGAAACGCGAAACTTTGCAGCCTTTTTGCCGCAGATGCTCGCAGCACAGGCGCTCTTGGCTGCGGAAGAGGAGGCATTGCCGACGGTGCTTTGCAATGCGGCCACCGCCATCGAGGCTAAGCGAATCATTCAGTTGCGGCTTGCTGTTATCGCTGTCCTCATGACCCAAGTGTAGAAGGCAGCAGTTACAACTGGCGAGCGACTGAAGTGCAAACAGCTGCCACAGCACAATCAGACAAGCAGAAATGTGGAACTGCTCCATAATACGGCAGAGTGCTACAAAAGCTGCCGGATTCCCGGGTTGCTATCCTTTTGCTCTTACTTTGGCACGGGCCTCCTGGCACCTGGTCTGGGTAGGTACCGATGACGGACTCTCTTTGGATAATGCATCGCTTTATGTCGTGCTGCACTTCCGTCGACATGTTCAAACGCTGTCTACTACTGCAACTACAACAACTACTAGTACTACTACTACTACTACTACTACTACTACTACTACTACTACTACTACTACTACTACTACTACTACTACTAGTACTACTACTACTACTACTACTACTACTACTACTACTACTACTACTACTACTACTACTTCTCCTGCTGCTGCTATCACTACTTCTACTTCCACCACGACGACTAATACAACAACTACTACTACTCCTGCTGCTACCACTACCAGTACCACTACCACTACCACTACCACTACAACTACCACTACCACTACCACTACCACTACGACTACTACTACTACTACTACTACTACTACTACTACTTCCTCTACTTCTCCTGCTGCTGCTACTACTACTAGTACTACTACTACTATCACTACTACTGTTGCTGCTTATGCTACTGCTGTGCTACTGCTGCGACTACAAATCCCAAGCTCCTCCCACGCCCGAGCCGAGAGTGCGTTTCGTCTGCGCTTCCCTGCGACTCGCAGGTGTGGCTAAGTGAAGCGGACCTTGGTTTGGTCATGCGCTTCGTGAACCGGCCCGAGGCAGAGTTGGTTTGGTTGCACGCGACCCAGAGCCGGCTCCTTGGCAGGTCTACGAGATGCCACCCGGATGGCCGTATGCGCATCAGGCTTCTCCATCTGTGCGTCTTGCGTCCAACGTAACCTCCATCAAAGGGCAGGTGTTTCGCAGGCAGGTCTCATGATGCCTCATGGTGGAGCATGGTGCATTCTTTCCAGAACGCTTCTTTGGGTGGGTTGGGAGGATGGAGTTCCCGTGTGGGTCGGAATTCAAGTTCACCGAAGCAAGGGGACGGGCGCTTTTCTTTGCGCGATCCAACTGCCTATTGAGTCTAGTCACTGGAGGGGAGCAGGCTGGATTCTCAATTTGATTAGGTTCGAGTGTCTAGAACGCGGAGGGATTGGTGTTCATTGTCTTGGTGGGAGGTTGCCGTGTCCAGGTGTTAAAGGATGACCCGAAGAAGGCCTTGAAGCCGGCAGAGGCACAGCTGCACGGAGCGTTTCACACGGTCCCTCTGCTGCAAGTGTTTCTCAGATCAATGAGAGCTCCGCAGCCACTGGCGGGTGCTGCACGGAGGTGGAACACGCCAATGGCGCCAGCGACGAAGGCGGCACTTCTATCAGCTTAGGTCCTAGGTGCTTGGGTGTACTCGGCGACGGGTGCTCGTAGACTTTGCCAGCCTGTGAGCCATCTCGTCTGCAGGAGGTGCGGCACTTGTGCCACAGCGAGAACCCCAGCGCCCCAGGCAGCAAAGAGGTTTACGAAGGTATCCAAGGGAACGACAGCCTGAGGTCCTTGATTGGTGCCAGCCCGGGCGAGTATGCTCAGCTCCAAGGATCTCCGACCCTGCCATGTGTCATGAGCATCATGCGGTCCGCATCTGGTGAGGTCTTGTTTGACCTTAACCGGGACAACGTCGCCGACATTCCAGATGTCGTCCAGCGCCTAGTGGCCTAGTGTGTGGCAAGTCTATCGCGCGATGCGTCCACGCCTAATGCAAGCCATAGAGCTTGTGCTCGCGAACGCAGACGGTGGAGCTCTTGTCGCCGACGTCCGCCTTGGCTGCTGGGCACCTGGAAGCTGAGCAGAGCTCCAGAGCAGAGACCCCGAAGTCCCTCCCGAGTTTGACAGCTCTGGCGACAGCATCATCTAAGATGGATCCACTTCACTCCCGACCCAAAACCTTCTGCCCCCTTTCCGGCTGCCGAGGCGCTGCAAGAGCGGCCGCCTCAGAGTGAGGCCATCATCGTCGCTGGCCGCAGGCCTGGTTTTCAGTTGAAAAGGAAGACTCCGCAAACCCCAGCTGGGGATGTTAGGCGGGCAGTACCAGAAGTTCTGGCAGACGCTAAATACCAGAGGACTAAGTAAGGCCGCGTTCGAGAAGCTGTAAAAAGTGGGAATCTGGAGTGCGTGACCTTGAATCTCGAAAGCGGTTGCTTGACAGCAAACAGCAACTGCCCCTTTAGGAGATGTTGGTTGCTCAACCTGCAACCGTCCGCACAGAATCCACCGAAAGCGTCTGAAGCCCGGCCTCTAAGCCGATAGACCTGAAACTGAAACCCCGAAGCAAAGATGCAACTATTGACTGATGTTAGTGTGTCTGTGAACATTGGTGTTCTGATTGTGGATGACATCATTGCTGTTTGTGCTGTGCTTATTCTTGGTGCTTACAAGAGCGAGCAATATCAAGAATGAAGTTAGTTCTCGGCAGCTCGTATCATGATGAAGCTGTTCTCAGACGTGCTCGCAGTCATGTCATTACGCTTGGTACCAGTGTTGCCGTTGTGCATGCTCATCTTGTGGTAAGCAGCACCACAGGGAAGAAGCCCCAAGGCCCAGCTTACAAGCAAATCGAGGTTAGCATGCTGACAGGAGCATTAGCATGTAAAAAGCCAGGTCCGAAACAAGGGAGATACGGAGATACCCCAGCATTGCCAGCCTACTCAAAAAGCGGTGGTGCGACAAGAAAGGGCCGCTTTCACTCTGACAGCCTGCTGCACTTTGGAAGGTATGCATCCTTCATGACCCTGAAGAATGCACTGGTGGAGATCGTGCTGGAGCAGGATCTGTGCAAGGGCAGCCGGCCAGCCTCACGGCGTACATTCACAGATTCACAAAGATCCCCATTTGGGATGAGTTCTGGACACTTTTGGCCAGGAGCCCGGGATGCATCTTCGCTTCGAGGCTCGAGAGACCTCGAACTTCGGAGCAATTCTCATATCGGCGAGTCAGGATGATGAGCACGCCATCAAGACTCTGCTAAGCTACCATCCAGATGCAGACAGGCCACGCGGTGCTCACTCGTCACCGGCAGCCACCGGCAGTGCCTGGCAGGCTGCTGGAAGATCTGGTGGCAGTCAAGGTGGATTGCTCCCCAGTGGATGATGATACCAGGCGTGCCACAGCGACAGGAACAACCACGCGAACAGATGCCTAGAAAGTGGCCGCAGGTGTCTTTGGGTGATAAAATTCGACGGGTACGAGGCGCGTCGGGTAGGAAGTTTTTTGGGGCTGCAGCACGGCTGCTAGATTCACCCTCGTACCGGTGTGGTCAGAGGAGGCTTAGTTGATGAGTCGGGTTTGGGGCATGTCCACCTACATAGTAGTTCCTTTACCGTGTGCAGGTTGGTGCCGGTACTGGTACAAGGGCTTTAAGCTTTGGAGCAACTACAGACACTTGGCGTACTAAGCCTCTGTGCCGGGCCTGTCCCAGATTACTTCAGAGCAATGGCTTGCTGACGTACCGCAAAGCTGGGATACGTGCCAGAGTGAAGGGCTTAGAAATGGCTGAGCACCTGCAAGCAATCGAGATAGGCTTCAGGCACCACGTATCACCACGTGAAACTGCATATTCCAGATTTGGCTTCGAGGTGCTAAAAACTCTTCCGCTTTTGATGCTTAGTAGCGGGCTGCCGCAGTGGGATCGGATTGGCTCAGGAGGATGTCAGCCTCCGGGAGTGTCTCGAAGGCGCGGCTGAAAGAAAGAAAGAGACCCTTTGCCGCTTTGCCGCCCTGTTGACGACGGTCTCAGCCTTGGGCAGGCCTAGAGCGGGCCCTTAGCCTTGACGCCAAGGACGGAGGCCAGGGGCGCCTTTACCAGGAGTAGGGACATGGCCCTGGCTGCTTTCGATTCTGGAAGGCTCCCCGAAGCGCTTCGTGCCACGTTTGGGCCCTGCCCGCCGGCAGGAAGATTCCAGGTGCTCCCGGCTTCTAGAGGGACTGAAGTTTGCACTTTCTGCAGGGACAATGAGTCTGAATAGCGTGCCCGATTGCCCAAGTCGAGCCGTGGGTGCTGAATCAGCACTCATGGGAGCATAGGCTCTCACGCCAAAGTAAGCGATGTTCGACCGAACCTGAACAGCCGAAGCACCGTGTTTCCAAAATCCCTATGCCCTGAGCCGCAGTCCTTTATTGAAAGCCGGTCCACGACAGCAACAGTCAGAAGCACTGCCAGATTGATACAGCCGCATCTAGTTTGGAAATCGTACGTACGAGTTGCCGACAGATCCGACAGTTGCGATGACAGCTCAAGGAAGCAACTTGATGATGGCAAAATGCGGTGTTACATGTCAGATGCAGAGGCTGATGTTTGAACACTGGTCAGGGAATGTCAGGGGTTTCTAGAGCGCTATGAAGATGAGCAAGTAGGAATGCAATGGGGTAGTTTATGAGAAGCCGAGCCTATCCAATGATCAAAAGACAGTTCCAGTCGTGCTGCCAGGCCTTCGCGCTAGGTCCGACGCAGACGTGGGCCGTCTTGAGTTGAAGGCTGCCCCATACGTCGTTGCACCCAGCACCTCATCGGAGATGGCCGCGGTGTTGGCCGAAAAGGGGTCAGCTTGTGAGGGCGTCCTCGTCCCGAGAAGTGCGGATATCAAGGCCCAAGTGTGAACAACAAGGTGCTCAACGCTAGAAGACCATGAAGGCCACAGACTCAGGTAGGACACTAGAACCGAATGGCAACATGATAGTTGAACTCGAACAGATGTGGCGGCACTTTCGACGAGTGACCGCGGCATTTAGTACGTCTCTTTCAGTCGTGGCACGTGCCCTCGTCGTGGGAATTGCCTGGCAGCGCCTTTAGCTCAGAGTTTGCATTTGTCTGACTGGTCACTAGCTGCAGCTTCGGTGTGGGTGAGAATATGAGCATGTGGTGCTGAAGCTAAATGCAATTCGAGCTGGTGCGGCCTGTGTAGAAATGCATCGTCTCGAGAAGGAGCTTTGTCTCTTCAAGCCGGGAGCAGTCGAATGCCAAGTCTAGAAAGGGGGCGGGAGCGGTTGCTCAAGCTCTGACCAAGACATGACCATTGCATACTTGCAGGCGTCAAAGCTGCTGCTCACCATGTTTTGGTTCTGGCAGAATTGCGCTGCCTTCAGGACCAAGGGATCTTCGTCATCTTCATGAGTGATACGCTGAGCTACCGTCACGTGCCGCGACCAAGCGGCATTGATTCCCCTCAGCTGTTGACACGGCCGTGGTGTGCAGAGTCGCCTTTGATCCGTGAAGGCTCAACGACTCGAGCCTCGCTCCTCTCGGCCGCCACATACGTGAGCTGCCGCCTGGCTGGGAGGCTCCTGTCACCGGCACCATGCGGCGTCCAGTGCTTCTGGCTTTGCGCTAGGTCCGCGGTGGAACTCCGCCCCAATTGGCACCCAAAGGCTACCGCCTTGGCAGAGCCTGCGCGACTCTCGAGGCGCTAGCTTGTGGTAAGGGGTGCACGATACCTGGCCCCTGACATAGCCGATAGCAATAATTATGCAGTTTGCATGTGTCAGTCATTCAAAAGCTCTGTTCCAACACGATGCCACAATAGGCAGAGTCAAGACTTCACTCTTCCTCATTTAGTGAGGTGTCACATACGCACGGCTAGTACTCACAACGTACATCGTTACATCTCTGAGCCGGCTATTCGCTGAGGGATACGATGCAGGCTTGATCGTGCTCAGCATTGCAGGCTTCTGGTCGTTTAGATGTCGCCAGAATGGGAGTTTTCGCCAGGAGTCAGGGTTCTTGCCTGGAACGCAATGGCAACACTTTCTTCAGGCTGTGCTTTGACTCCTGTCTTATACGAGCTGCCTGTCCAATCAGCGTGTCTGTCGATCCAGCTGCTCATGTGTCTTATTTACACGGTCTGCATATCTACCTATCGGTCCCTCCATACATCTATTTCTGGGTCTATCAGTCTATCAGCGATAGACTGGTCTATCGATCTGTTTTGCGCATCATTTGTCTGATGGGTTTCTTTATCTAGAACCTGGCAGTCAAAGTGTGAAGTCCCCACTGGGACGTAAAACAGGATGCGTGGGCTGCGCACCTGGAGCAGCAGTTTCACAAAGCACAACAGGGCACGCGACCCAGCAGGCGGGAAGCGTTCACTCCGTTTGTTCTCCGTTGGAGCCCTGTACTATGCATAGCTGAAGCACCACTTCACGAATGCACCCGGTCTGCAGATGCGGTTTAGGATTAGAGTGCAGAAGGCCGTCCACAGCCAATTTTGTGGGGCTTCTGTCTTGCATATCCAGCTGAGTGGTTTGAGCAGTTAGGTGTGAGGCTGCGTAATGCATCAAGATGTCCGACTGGATCTTGCTAGCTCTCCTTTAAGCTCTGAGTCAGCACGTCCCATTCACCGCAAAGAGCATTTGACGGTTACCATTGCTACACCACGACGGACGAGCCCAATAAACATAATGAACAGCACGCCGCCCAGCCGCTTGGAGGCCGGAGGCTTCACCGACACAGCTCAAAGGCCAGACGACTTGCTGTTTGGGAATGCTGAGCAGCTTTCCGAGCTTCCCCCGGTTTGCCCAGGCAGCCCTGCTTCCTCCCCACAGCCGGTGGCCATCGCGTGGAGCTAGGAAAGAAGTGCGCAATTTGTGGCACAACACGATGCTTTAGGGCATCTGCAGGTGCTCAAGAAGCACGGATCACATATGCACTGTAGTTGCAGTCCTTTAGATCGTAAGCAGCTGCAGGAGTGTTCTGCGTTTTTTTGGTATAGCTAATAGCTACGATAGCTTCATAGCTTTGTGAGAGTGGGTTGCCAAGCTATGCGTTACCGTCGGAGCCTTGCTCCTTGGCTTCCGTTGCTTGCTCTGTGCTTCACCTGGACCTTGCTTGCTTGTCAGACTTGGAGAAGTCTTGCCTTCTCTTTCCTCTCTCTGCGTGGAGCCGCGAGCGCCAGCCGAGCCGCGAGCGCCAGCCGAGCAGGCCAAGCCTCCAAGCTGACGGATGCCGCCAGCGCCACCGCCAGCGCCCCCGGCCCCGGCGGTGTCCTTCCAAACGGCGAGCTCAGAGAAGCCTACGAGCCCGACACGCGCCTCGATGCGAGAGAAGGTCGAATTGAGATATTCCCTTCGCCGATCTACCGAGCCAAACTGCGGCCAAGCGACGAGGAGGTTCGCGCATTAAACGACGAGATAGCACTGAACTTCCGGCGGCTCATGGCGAGAGACGAAAAAGGCATCGAGTATTCGAAGACGCACTATGCGGGAGGCTACACGTCCTATTTTAGCCTCCCTGCGCTTCAGAAGTGGGTACCTCCCATCGGAACTCTCGAGGAGTGGCTGAGGCCCCATATTCAAGAGTTCAGGCAGCATGCCAGGCTGCAAGACGGACCAGAGCTTTTCATGACGGATTGCTGGGCAAATGTCATGGGTGACGGAACAGAGCACATGTTCCATCAGCATAAGAAGTCCACCATAAGCGGTACTTACTATGTGCGGACTCCTATCGGCTGCTCGGGTCTGCTGTTCGAAGATCCACGCTTAGACCGGACAGTTGCGAAGCAATCGCGCCGAGTCGTCGAGTTTCCGGCCATGGCCGGCTTCGTGGTGCTCTTTGAAAGTTGGCAAAGGCACAAAGTCCCACCCAACTCCGGAAAGGACGGAGAAGAGCGCAACTTGGCACCTATCACCTTGAAAACTTTGAAGCCACGAGTCTTTCGGGTCGGCTAGATCCTTCGAAAGCCGGATTAGTGGTGCTGACAGGTGCCTCGTGACTGTTGCTATCAAGACCACATGCCTGCATTCCTTCATTAAAACCGTCAATGCCTCTCACAGCCGATTTGCAAAACTAAGCTCTGACAGCAAGACCGGCAACAGAGACAATGATGGAAACTATCAGCTATCGCACATAAGTGCTTGCAGTCCACATCAAGCGAAAGCTAAGCTGGAGCCAGGTATCTGAAGCCAAGCCCAGAGCCCTAAGGACATTGCTGAAGCGTTGCAATGAAAATCCAGCTTGATCACTGTGATGAGCACCCCTGATCTTCGCTGTGCCTGAGGCATCAGCGTCAGCTTCAACTATCATTGGCGGTATGAGGATCCCACGAAGATTCCGCTGGAGTAACGCGAGAAGCACTGGAAAAAACTGACGGCTGCCGCTACTGTATGCCTTGCTGCGTTCGGTGGACTTTCTCTTGCTCTTGCATGGAGTCATGACATCTAAGTCGAAGTGGGTCAGAAATCGGCAGGCATTTTGAAAGAGTAACAAGAGGAGAGGAATGCGGTACATAATTAGTTATCATGCAAGGAACTGTGTCAGTGTCAAGCCATCGAGCTGCTGATTCAGAAGGATTTTGCCGAACGACTCGGCAGATGCCAATCGGCTCAGGCGAAGCCAGCGAGCAACGGCGTTTCCTTCCAGGCCACAATACAAGTGTCAATTGGGCTCGAAGAGTAAGTCTGAAGCCTTGTCGCATGTTATTCAACTGTTACTCCCGCGGTTCCTGGAACTATAGCCGCGGAAAGACTGCCCTCGTGATGGTGTCCGTGACCGGATTCCACAATGGCCGTAAAGCTGCACGTGTATGGGAAGCTCAGTAATCCCTTCCAGAACGTGTCTGACGTGCGACTAAGACCGGATGCACAGACCAGCGGCGAGAGAGCCCGAGCGCTCCTAATCCGCCCGGCAGGTGCAGCCGGAGATGACAGTTGACGCCGCGGCCTCGGCCGTGACAGAAGCTGTGATCATCTCAGCGGAATCTGAGCAAGTGCAGATATATCTCCAAAGAAAGTACTCGTAATAGATGTTGAAACGCGTTGGTCATAGGCGGCATAACCAGTCATTTGTCGACATGTGAGCTATGGGCAATTTCGGTTCGATTGCCCAGGTCACTTTGCTCGATCGGGAGGCGCTGATCGCCAGGCAGCTTGGTACCGGTTTCGCACAGCTCGACCATGGCACTTAGCTTCTTCGCAGCTCACTTCTGCAGCACCTGACCGGATGCCTTCCTTGCATGACGCATCTGCGACCTCAAAGTCTGAGCACCACTGGACCTTCGTGATGCTGCCCGCCAGGCTGCTGGAGGCTGAAGCGCGCAATGAGGCCACCTATTCAGACCTGTTTGCCTGCGAATCGGTTCGGCCTCGCTGAGCTCGAAACACCGGCCGCCGAGACGGCACCCTGCACCGCTGCACAAAACCCACACTGAGGAACTTCCCAGATCAAGCTTGCATTTACAGTAGGCATCAATAGAAAGCTTTGAGTTGTGGTGGTGGTGGTAGTAGTAGTAGTAGTAGTAGTAGTAGTAGTAATTCGAAGTCGAAACCAGTAGTAGTAGAGAACTATGGAGCCCTTGTCTCCAACAGGACCCCGTCTGACAGAAGACCCTATCTAGCAGGACACCTATGACCCCGTGTAACAACGCGGGCCGAGACGCAGGTGGATGCGGGGGGGATGTGAGAGGGGCTTAGAGCCAGATGCGAGGGATCGCGAAAAACGACCACAGGGACTCGGAAACCATTAGTTAATTCGGGCCAGTCTGGCAACAGTGCCCCACCTGGCCTGCGAAGCAAGTTCGTCGTGGCCTTTGGCTTGTCATCATAGGTGCAGCTTGTCGTGGCGTGGTGCCTCGATCACGCTGGAACTGAGATTGTCTGCTTCGCAGTCGAGTCGCTGGTGCCGCTAATCCCTGGTTGCATCGGCAGGAGTTGCAGCGTCACATTTTTCAGCTTCGGGAGGCCCTGCAGGGGGTCCGGGGTGCTGGGCGTAGCACCGGCGCATAGCAGAGAAGACGGCGCGGAGCGGCGCGGAGAGCAGCGGAGTCCGCTGAGAACAGGAGCGAGACGATCGGCAGCGGCGCCTCGACGAGGCGCCGCGGCCGGCAGGGGCCCCCCTTTTGCTTTTAGGTGCTCTCAGTTGGGCTCCTTGTTGAAGCTTCGCTTATGGAAAGCTCTTCTCTGCTCTCGTCTAACACGATGTGAGCCGCAGGCCCTCTTCGAGAACGCCAGGCAGGGGCCGGGGCAGAACATCTGGGCAAACGGACAGCCCGTGCTGTGGGGTACCAGGAGTGAGTTGGATGTGCAAATACGCTCTTTGGCCAATGTATGCCACCTACGTCCCATGTAGTGAATAGCATGTGAATACACGTGTTCATGAGAGGGAAGAGAGAGCGAGTGGACAGGGAGCAGTCGGGCACACTTGTACAAATCCTGGCATTCCCCGCATCATCCTGCATCCGCAAAACAAAAACAGCTGGCATGCAGCCGATAACGGCGAACTCATGTGGAAGGAAGGCCGGAGCGGGCATCAGAATCTGCACGCAGGATTTGGCAGTATACGAAGTTCTATGGTCAGCCTCTACATCGTCAACCTGCAGAAGTGTATCGCGTGCCTCTCATTGAATCGCTCACACGCGCCGAGTGGATCAAGACTCACATCCACTCCATGGCCAGTTATCACTATGAAAGATGTCCAGGAGCCAACGGCTGTTGCGGAGGATACCAAGCAGACCGGAGAAGCTTTGGATGGCTTGGAGCTGATGGACGAGTCCTTGAAGTTGGACTTGAAAAGCCTCCACTCCCAAGTGCACTCAGTAAGGCCTGACTTGAATAGAAGCTTCGCGAGTTTGTGGATCTGGAACCAGGGAAGCAAAAAGAGCTTATGTAGAAGAGTCACTTACCTGCATTTCTCCAAACCCGACGCAGGAAAGCCAGACAGAAATGCCGTATGTAGTGCAGTGCTGCATCGTATTCCAGAGCTCCAAAGCCGATCTCGCGAAGAAAGTCAGAGAGGAATGCAGTATACAGAGGTGGAGGTCGCACCAGGCTTGCGTGGGAGACGGTGGCACAGCATCTTAAGGCCGGAGGACATGAAAGCAAAGAAAGAGAGGCATCGAATCCCGTCAAACCCTCCGATCGAAACGTGTGAAACTCAGCTCCAAAACACTGGGGTCGTTGAATCGGCGCCTATTTTCCCTGCCTTGACTGCGTCTTGGTTGCCACCCCGTTACAAAACGGCCGCAGTGGCCCGAACGACCACAGGAACTCAAAAGACATGGGCAGAAGAGAGTAGAAGCCAGCGAGTGGCGAGTAAGGCTGCAATGGAGTTTGCAAGCCAAAGCATCGAAATGTGCAGCGTCTGATGTCATGGCTCCTTGAGGCTGCACGGCCTGAATCACCGAAGCGTGCCGAGCCAAGTTTCCGTGGGGAACGGGCACCTCTTGCTTCGCCGAGCTTTGCGTCAGCGGGACCGAGTTGCACGTGCTTCGCAATTGTTTAATGTAGAATTTAGTGTTGTGGCATTTCCGGAAAGCTTGGAAAGTCTCCACCCCATAGCGATTGCAGGTGTCGCAGTCCTCGCTGCCGACCTCCCCGTCGCAGCGCATGCTCGTGACCTCCCCCCAGCCGCTGCAGCCGAGCAGACTGGCTGGCCTGCTTGCAGAGGTTGCATGGTAGTTCGCTCAGTCGCATAGGTGCCTAAAGCAGGAGGTCGCAGGCCTGTGAATGTGGAGGCATGTCAACTGCACGACTGTGATAGTGGTGATTATTCGTGATACTGCGACATCTCCATCCTCCTATACTCGTCCCCTCGTACCGCACCATGCCAGATAGCTCCGGCTTCATCAAGAGCGAAGCATCAGCATTGCCGCCAGTGCACGAAACCCAGCTTCAAGGTTAGCTTATGACATGTTGCATTCAGGCTGCTGTGGTGTCAAAAACTTTACTCACTGGCATCATGAGCACGTACCGAAGGCAGAATGTTCTGCTGCAAACAAGTCGATGTTGAGCCCGAATTAAGATGCGGTCGAGGCTGAGCAAGGCCTGAAGCGTGCCAGCTCTAGACGTCGCGGGTTTGCTTGCAACATATGAGAACCGAGCCGTTGTTCATGTCGGACAGCACAGGCGGTTCAGTGTGAAGCTCAGCTACAATCTTTTTTCGAAAATCATTTGGCAAGGCCAAATTCCTGGCAACCACCGACATCTGCGCGGGAGACTCCTGGCAGGTCCACCCTCTCGACTGGAGCCTACTTTCCATGGTTGTGAGCAACTGTACATCGTGGGGTGGGCGACAGCCACAAAATCGAGCGGCTTGTGTCTTTACGAGGCCCGTTTCCGCGGATGGAGATGGCGAAGAAGGCTGGATAGTTCACGTTTTCGGAACGTGAAGAGGCAAGCACACATCAACTGCAATGGGACACCAGCATCAAGGCATGCCGTAGTTTGACAGCACAGGTGAGTAGAGCAAGCTTGTGTACGATGGCTGTCTTGCGTGCGAAGGAGACATGTTTCCTGGTCCTGACTTCAGCTGTGCCTTGACTGAAGCTCCGGCTGGAGCATGAAGCGGACCAAACACCGCAGAGCAAATCACTGACTCGCCTGCATTGATTATTTGGTAGAAGGGCAGAGCAGCTTTCATAGTCTAGAACCGTTCTGAGGCAACAACTTCCGGTCTACCCAGCCTTTGGCCCGTGGCCTAAATAGATTTGGCCCAGCAGATTCGTTGAAGCGCGTATCCATGTACGCGATGGCGTCGCGAGGGAAATGAACTTCACCAGGGGCACATCACAATGATGCGTCCGTACCGTGAGCTCAAAACCCTCAACACTTTGGTTGAGGCATCTGATCTTTGAAAGCTTTTACATGTGTGCACATTCTCCCACATTCGGCTGAGGCCAGTATGGCCTCTGTGCCAGCCGCGGCGCCCCCGCCGGCAAGGCCCAGGGAGTAGGAGCCACGCTTCAAAAGCACATCGCTGATGCAAGATCGACAGCACTATGGGGACGCTACAGGAAGGGGGAGACAAGCCGAGCCCGGCGTTGGGGTTGTCTCGGGCTGACCGAATACCGTCCCAAATCGCAAACCCGAACCGTGGGCTGCGTTGTCAAGAAACTGATTGAAGAACCTTATGCCTTATGGATCGGCCGAAGATGTTTGCAGCTGATCACGTTATATCGCGTTAACTACAGTTCAGGGTCTCCAGTCATTATCCGTCGCAACTGAGGCAAGACCAACAACAATGAAGCCCAAATGCAGTCGACGGATGCTGCAAGAGGGTCGTCCACTATGTTCGATGTCTGATTGTCCGGAGAGGGGGGCTGCGCGAGCCAAACTGTACAACTATTGCCTTGCAGATTTTTGTGTCGTCGCGCAGGTTTTGGCCGTGCTGCATATCATGTTCGCACTTCGCAACCTGTTTGCATTCCCTACGACTATAGCCACTAGACTTTTTGCATTGACCTCGGCACCTCCGCAATGAGGACTCCTGCTTTCAGTGTTTTGTGTTTCTGAGTTTGTAGCACAAGTGCCAAAGTCTCGCCAGCCGTGGTTCAGAGAGAGTCAGGTTTTGGCGAGCTAGCTCCTCAATTCTGCTCTTCCGATCTCTCCCGAGCGAACGTTCAGCACACTTCTATGCAAACTTGACTATCGTCGTTCGCTGCCCCGTGGTAGTATCCCGAGCAGGATATCGGAAAAGCCAGTGGAGATCGTTGTTTCTGCGGCCGCCTTAGAGGAACATCTGAAGATCCTGCTATTCCATCTGCAAGGCGCACTTGAGCGGAGCCCTAAGCCATGGAAGAGCTAGCCAGACTAAGGGCGGCATTAACAAATGGGCGCGCAAGCGCGCGTAAGCAACAGTCGCATTCGCGTAAGGCTTGCGCACCGGTTGCTTTGAAAGCCGATGTGCGCAAGGTCATCTTGAGATCTCATACGGACGACGACGATGATGACGACGACTACCACTGCTACTGCTACTCCTGTCCTATACTCGTATACTCCAATTGCAAATACAAGTCTTGTATTTGCACGAGGTTCCCCGTGCACCTGTCGACGAAATGGAGGCTTGCCGGCGATCGCGAATCCAGCGATCTGGAACTCATGACGTGTTCCCTGGCAGATCCTGGCAGGCACCAGCACCCATTCTGGCCGGACCGCACCCTTGCCGATCTTTGCAAAGCCTCCAGGCTCGCGATGGCAGGATCTTCCGTGCGACTTCATCGTGTAGCTATCATCTCCAGCCTATTTTACTCCACGTCCGAACTGGAACAGAAGTTGAGAACTGCAGATGCGTTTTCTCGGCATTCTGTGTGCTGTGTGATTCGTGTCCTGCAGAAGAACACCCACGTGCCATTGGTCCGCCTCTTACTTTTACATTCCATCAGGAGCACCGATGCTTGCCAGGAACATTGGTATGTTCTGGCAGCCCAACATAACTCTTGTCAGCTTCTATGCTTCCGTACTGTGGTGAAGACCAGACGAGTGGGTTGCGATTCGATCAGCTGCTCAGGTGCTGCCACACCAGGCTGGGACCGGGCTGCAGTGAAAAAAGGGCCTGACCCTGCGGCCCTGCCTCGGCAAACTCGAGATCTGGCATGATCGAGTGCGATCCTTCAATGCAAACTTTCCGACAGCACAGATCCTAATGGCATGCACGACATTTCGGACCTCTCGTCTTGCCAACACTCCTCTCGGCTTCAAGCCAGTACTCGCTGCAAATGGCGAAACGGCCTCGCCAACGCGACCTGCAGGTGACACGGTTACCTTCAGCCCCAGCGCCCCAGTCGCAGGCAGCGGAAGCTTCCGTGGTTGAAGCGTAAGAAAGGTCCGAAAGCCATTGTGGCAGAGTCTGCAATGAGTGCTTCTTGCAGGCTTTTGCTGCTGGGCCGGTGCAGGCAATGGCTTTCGATTTACATGAGGGTTGACCCAGCTGGCGAAATCAAGAGCATGCGTCCGTTCTGCTGGCCTGAAGGGACGTACGTACATACATACATCTACATACGAGCGTAACGGAATTCGCACCCGATTACAGAATAAAGCGGCTGCTTTTCACGTATCGTTCAAGAATCGTCTTATTTTACTGGTTTCCAAGATGAGAGTGGTCGGCGGGTGAGAAACCCCAGCCGTGAGAAAGGAGTGTGAAACCCCGATAAGGCCCGGCTGGTCCAGAGGGCGTGATAAGGAGATTAAGGAGCAAACCCATGCCCTGAGATGTTCGAGCTGGTCTGCTCCTGGTAGTACGCAGTGAGGGAAAGCACAAGTTGAGAAAGCAACAGCGGTTTGCAGCGTGAGAGCCCCGAGCAGCGTTCTTCAGGTGGCATGTGGAAATGGGTACACTCATCATCATCATTTGGCCCGGGGGTGTGCCCGGCCTGGCTGTCTGGAGGTTGTAATTTAAGTGCAGGCGCTGAGTGTACTTCTTAGCGGCTTGCTTGGAACGGGTTTGTTTGGAAACCGCACCCAATCGCCAAGATCTTAGTGCCCAATCTCGAACCCACCAAACCCTCCTTCAGCTGGAGTTCACGGGTCGTTCTGATGAGTGAGGTACCGTAGCTGAGGCATGCTGAGGCAACTTTAGCTAGAATCCATTTTTCAACCGGAGTTGAGATATCTTATGGTTACAACCAATCATAAATTATAACCATCCAGGACTGCCTCAAGTAAGCCCACAGGTCTAGCTGCAAGAAGACTTCAATGCATATGTACAGGAGGCCCTCAGGCAGCATCCAAGGCCCCAAGAAGATCTTAAAACTAGAGCGACAAAAAATTCGAACTTCGGCGGACCCTGAAACATGTCAGCTCTTGCAGTACTTTAAGCATGTGCAAGGTCGGATGGAGAAGACCTAGACCCTGAACCCAACTATTTCATTATTAGATCCGCTGGACCCCGTGAACCTTAAGCCTCAACAGGCTTCTTACTCCGTGTTGGCTTTGCTCTGCAATGGGAGTGCATGTGCCCTATTCCAGATGCGCAATGCATTCTTTGTGTAGCTGCGGCCCGATGAGTGCCTGCTGAATAGCCTTTCCTCAGTGAACGGCCAACACTTCAGCAGTGTGCTTACGGATGTCGGGTTTTGCAGCATGGAGCTTTCTGGCCAGGGGGTAGCCATAGGTAGACGTTAGTCATGTTTACTTGTTGAAAACTTCTTGATGTGTCCTGCCCTGTCCAACCTTAGGGAAAGCAACAACTAAACAAGGTACGGTAGGTCCTCTAGTTTTTTTAGTGCCAGGCTTCTGCCATCTGGGTTGCTGCCATCGGCTCCGGCCTCTCTCGCCAAATCCCAAGAACGAACGTCTCAGAAGAGCTCGTTTTCCTGCTTTCTGCATGTCACCAAGGCCGCCCCTGCCGGGAACCGTGTGGTCGCTCCGCGCAACCCCATCCAGGTAGCACAGGCACCGATGCAGCAGGCCCAAGGCCAAGCACCGCCGCCGTCGGTCGTGATGCAGGCGCACGGGGCGCACGGCGCCACTCTGACCTGCTCTGACCTGCGATCTGCAATGCAATCTCTCATGCAATGCGAGGCGTGCGTCGCGGTCTCGGGCTACCGCTGAGAAGCCCCGGCTTCAGCAGGTTTCGAAAGCACCGAAGCCGCGCCTCGGAGCCGAAGTTTCCGCCTTGGCGACTAATTCGTTGGACTCCTGCCGCGATGATCGTACATCAGATTCAGCCTGCACTCAAAGTCCGGCAGGACATCCCTGTTCACTCAATGCATGCAAAGCGATGCTTCTTATTAGTGCAGGGGGAGTGTTTCGTTCGGCAGAAAAGTTCAGTCGATTTATGTTCGATCACCCACGGCGAGTGCGTGAAGTGTAGAGTGTAGAGCAGCCGAGACCCGCAAATGTCTGAACATTGCCCGAAGCCCTGAAAGGCTCACGGAAGGCTCAGCTGTGACTCTGCCAAGTGCCACAACCAATCCGCACGGCCGAGCCACCGACGCGAAGCCGCCGAGGCTGTCGCATCTTTGGGGCACTGGTTTTCCGTTTGACTGCTGTTGTCGTTCAAGGTAAAGTGTCCTTGCTTGTCTCCTTTATGATGCAGAGATTCCATGCCTTAGAGTTCTCTGGTTGGGTTCTTTTTGACCGGTATGTCCGCGGTTTCGCTGATTCAGGGGGGCTGAGCTGAATCTGCCTGCATCGAAAGATTCCATTCGATGAATTTGGATCTGATTGGTTCAGAGCTGGATGTACGACGTGAGCAGTGGTTGCGAAATGCACAGCACCTGCAGCATACGGCAAAGAAAGCCCCCAACCATGCTCAGGACCCTGGCCATGGGCCTGCTTTCCGCTGCAGTTGTCTGTGTGTCGGGCTGGATCTGGAAGGACAAGTGCGACGGTCGCACGGTCGGAGGGCAGTGGCTTACAGTAGCTCGAATCGGATCCTCTCTTGCAGGGCGCCGGGTTGCAGAACTTACAAGGCCAGTCAAAGCTAAGGAGACAGCGACAAGGAACATCTTGAAGCTTTTCGAGCCGTCAACATGGAGAAGGTAAAAGTCTGCAGGTGAAGCGTCACATCCCCCATGTGCAGCTGAATGGAAATCGCATGGACTTGAGCTCTGCTTCGGATCCG